AAGTTAAAATATCCTAAAACTGAAAATTGGAGAAATCCAAACATCAAAAAATTAAAAAAATAAAAATTCGAAAATCTAAAATTTAAAAATCGAAAAACTGAAAAATCAACGAATCGATAAGTCGAAAATTGAAAAAATTGGAAAATTGAAAAATCGGATAAATCAAAAATCGAAACATCGAAAAATCGAGAATCCGAAAAGCAAAAAATCGAAAAACCAACAAATCGAAAAATCGAAACATCGTAAAATTCAAAAATTGAGACAGAGAAATCGAAAAATCAAAAGTCCAAAAAATCTAGGAGTGGAAAAATTGAAAAATTGGGAAACCGAAATAGGCCAAAAATATGGAAAAATTGATAAAGCGAGAGATTGAACAATCAAAACATCGAAACATCCGAATCTCAATAAATTGAGATCTCAAAAAATTTAAAAATTCGGAAATTTGAAAACTTAAAATATAGAACTGGAAACTCGAGAAACCGAAAAATCTAGAAATTTAACAATTAAAATAAGGAAAAGTTGAAAAATTGAGAAATTGAATTATAAAACAAACGAAAAATTGAAAAATCGAAAGTATAAAAAATGAAAAACTAAAAATCCAAAAATAAAAAATCGAAAATCTAGAAGTCGAAAAATCAAAGAATCGAAGTATTGAAAAGTATCAAAACTGAAAGAAAATCCAAAAATTGAGAAATCGAAAAACCAATAAAGCGAAGTCGAAAATTCGAAGAATTGAAGAACTGAAAAATCGAGAGAAGTGGGAAAATCAAAAATAGAAAAATTTAAATACTGAAGAACTGAAAAGTCAAAAAATCGAGAAATCGAAAAATCTAAAATTTAAAACATTGAAAAGTTAAAATATCCTAAAACTGAAAATTGGAGAAATCCAAACATCAAAAAATTAAAAAAATAAAAATTCGAAAATCTAAAATTTAAAAACCGAAAAACTGAAAAATCAACGAATCAAGAAGTCGAAAATTGAAAAAATTGGAAAATCGAAAAATCGGATAAATCAAAAATCGAAACATCGAAAAATCGAGAATCCGAAAAGCAAAAAATCGAAAAACCAACAAATCGAAAAATCGAAACATCGTAAAATTCAAAAATTGAGACATCGAGAAATCGAAAAATCAAAAGACCAAAAAATCTAGGAGTGGAAAAATTGAAAAACTGGGAAACCGAAATAGGCCAAAATTATGGAAAAATTGATAAAGCGAGAGATTGAACAATCAAAACATCGAAACATCCGAATCTCAATAAATTGAGATCTCAAAAAATTTAAAAATTCGGAAATTTGAAAACTTAAAATATAGAACTGGAAACTCGAGAAACCGAAAAATCTAGAAATTTAACAATTAAAATAAGGAAAAGTTGAAAAATTGAGAAATTGAATTACAAAACAATCGAAAAATTGAAAAATCGAAAGTATAAAAAATGAAAAACTTAAAATCCAAAAATAAAAAATCGAAAATCCAGAAGTCGAAAAATCAAAGAATCGAAGTATTGAAAAGTATCAAAATTGAAAGAAAATCCAAAAATTGAGAAATCGAAAAACCAATAAAGCGAAGTCGAAAAATCGAAAGATTGAAGAACTGAAAAATCGAGAGAAGTGGGAAAATCAAAAATAGAAAAATTTAAATACTGAAGAACTGAAAAGTCAAAAAATCGAGAAATCGAAAAATCTAAAATTTAAAACACTGAAAAGTTAAAATATCCTAAAACTGAAAATTGGAGAAATCGAAACATCAAAAAATTTAAAAAAATTAAAATTCGAAAATCTAAAATTAAAATATCGAAAAACTGAAAAATCAACGAATCGAGAAGTCGAAAATTTAAAAAATTGGAAAATTGAAAAAGAGGATAAATCAAAAATCGAAACATCGAAAAATCGAGAAACCGAAAAGCAAAAAATCGAAAAACCAACAAATCGAAAAATCGAAACATCGTAAAATTCAAAAATTGAGACATCGAGAAATCGAAAAATCAAAAGACCAAAAAATCTAGGAGTGGAAAAATCGAAAAATTGGGAAACCAAAATAGGCCAAAAATATGGAAAAATTGATAAAGCGAGAGATTGAACAATCAAAACATCGAAACATCCGAATCTCAATAAATTGAGATCTTAAAAAATTTAAAAATTCGGAAATTTGAAAAATTAAAATATAGAACTAGAAACTCGACAAACCGAAAAATCTAGAAATTTAACAATTAAAATAAGGAAAAGTTGAAAAATTGAGAAATTGAATTATAAAACAATCGAAAAATTGAAAAATCGAAAGTATAAAAAATGAAAAACTGAAAATCCAAAAATAAAAAATCGAAAATCTAGAAGTCGAAAAATCAAAGAATCGAAGTATTGAAAAGTATCAAAACTGAAAGAAAACCCAAAAATTGAGAAATCGAAAAACCAATAAAGCGAAGTCGAAAAATCGAAGAATCGAAGAACTGAAAAATCGAGAGAAGTGGGAAAATCAAATATAGAAAAATTTAAATACTGAAGAACTGAAAAGTCAAAAAATCGAGAAATCGAAAAATCTAAAATTTAAAACACTGGAAAGTTAAAATATCCTAAAACTGAAAATTGGAGAAATCCAAACATCAAAAAATTAAAAAAATAAAAATTCGAAAATCTAAAATTTAAAAATCGAAAAACTGAAAAATCAACGAATCGAGAAGTCGAAAATTGAAAAAATTGGAAAATTGAAAAATCGAATAAATCAAAAATCGAAACATCGAAAAATCGAGAAACCGAAAAGCAAAAAATCGAAAAACCAATAAATCGAAAAATCGAAACATCGTAAAATTCAAAAATTGAGACATTGAGAAATCGAAAAATCAATAGACCAAAAAATCTAGGAGTGGAAAAATTGAAAAATTGGGAAACCAAAATAGGCCAAACATATGGAAAAATTGATAAAGCGAGAGATTGAACAATCAAAACATCGAAACATCCGAATCTCAATAAATTGAGATCTCAAAAAATTTAAAAATTCGGAAATTTGAAAAATTAAAATATAGAACTGGAAACTCGAGAAACCGAAAAATCCAAAAATTTAAAAATTAAAATATGGAAAAGTTGAAAAATTGAGAAATTGAAATATAAAACAATCGAAAAATTGAAAAATCGAAAGTACAAAAAATGAAAAACTGAAAAATCAAAGAATCGAAGTATTGAAAAATATCAAAACTGAAATAAATGTCCAAAAATTGAGAAATCGAAAAACCAATAAAACAAAGTCGAAAAATCGAAGAATTGAAGAACTGAAAAATCGAGAGAAGTGGGAAAATCAAAAATAGCTTCTTTGAGAAATCAGAAAACTGAAAATTTAACGTAAAAATTTGCAAAATTGAAAAATTTAAATACGGAAGAACTGAAAAGTCAAAAAATCGAGAAATCGAAAAACCTAAAATTTAAAACATTGAACAATTAAAATATCGCAAAACTGAAGAATCGAGAAATCCAATTCAATTCAAAAAATTAAAAAATTGAAAAATCGGGACATTGAAAAATTGGAAAATCCAGAAATTGAAAAGCTCAAAAGAAAAAAATCGAAAAACCGAGAAATCAAAAAATCGAAACATCGAAAAATTCAAAAACTAAGACATCGAGAAATCGAAAAATCGGAGGATCGAGATATGGAGGACTCGGAAGCCGAAACGGAAAGTTAAAAATTGAAAAATTGATAAATTGAGAAATTGAACAATCAAACCAACGAAACATCTGAATTCGATAAATTAAGAAATTAAAAAATTGAATAATCGAAAAATTTTAATAAAAGAAAAAGTGGAAAATCGAAAATTAAAATTAAAAAAATCGACAAATTGAAAAATTGAAATATAGAAGAATTGAAAACTCGAGATATCGAAAAACCTAGAATTTTAAAAAATGAAATATTAAAACATCGAAAAGTTGAAAAATTGAGAAATCGAAGCATTAAACAGTCGCAGAATTGAAAAATCTAAAGTTTACAATAAATTGAAAATCCAAAAAGTAAAAAATCGAGAAATCAAAAATCTAAAAGTCGAAAAATTGAAATATTGAAAAATTTCATAACTGAAAGAAATGTTCAAAAAATTGAGAAATTAAAAAATTGGAAAATTGAGAAATTGAAAATCTAAAACAGCAAAATCGAAAAATCGTAATCTTAAAAAAGTCCAGAAATGGGCAAATAATAAAAAACTTTAGAAATCGGCAAACTTAAAATTTAGAAACGTGAAAATTTGAAAAATTGAAAAATCGAAATATTTAAAAACCGTAAATGAAGAGGACAAAAATTGAGAAATCGTATGATTGAAACATCGAAAGATTGAGAAATCGAAAAATAAAAAAATCGAGAGGGTGTTTGCCTTTGCTAATGTTTGATGGCGCCATCTGATGTAGAGTAAAATAAATCTAATATGTTGGCTCACTGTAGTGAAAATGCGCGTTGACGAAAAATTTGTCCCACGCCCCCTGGATTCCTTGTCCTAAAGCTCACTATTTAGGCGAAGTAAAATTTGTATTAGGTTGTCCAACTATAATATACTTAAACAATGATAATATATAAAGACATAAGTGTTTAATTTTATAAAAGTGAAAGTGTCAATTGCTAGTAATAAATTAAATTATTTTTCTTAAAATAATCATCAAATTCCAAAAATGTAAAACAGACTTTGTCGATGTCCAATCAGATAAGTGTCAAAATTTGAGTAGAATACTTAAGAAATGAATTATTTAATGAATGCAGCATTTGGGTTTAGAAAATGGTTTTATTTCTTTTTTATAATTTTTATGTATTCTTGGTTGCATAAGAGACACCAACTACACACCAATTAAAAAGTTTGCAAGTTGTAGCGGTACACAATAATTTGACGCTCACGCAACTCTTCTAAAGTAGTTTTTTGATGATATTACTTCAAACGTGCGGTAGTAGCCACAAACAACGTTAATTTTTTAAAATGCGTTTCTTTATTTGAAATTTGAAACCTTCCCGCCTCGCCCAACTTCCTGTTAGCCGGCGGCTGGCGCGCAGAGGTCGCTTCAGTCGTGTTGGATTATTTGTCAGCGTGTGTGCCAGTAATATGGCGACGAATAATTATTTCGGTTTTACCCACGGCGGAACGCAATATAGGTAAGTAATTTTCGTAATCCCAACCCGCCCAAAAATCCCGCACCTTTTAAGCCCAATAGCCGCCCCCGGAGCGCCGCCCGCCGCCGTAAAATCAATTGTTTGTCCCGCACACCGGCGTCCTTGAGTAAATGGCGCCGGCATTTTGTGCGATCAATAAACGGCGGGTCCATCTAGGCGGGTGTCTTTTGGCGTTCTTCGCAAAATCCTCGCCGATTTGGACGAGAATCCGCGCGAAACCTCCGCCGGGGGCGGCGCACACGCGTCGTGAGTACGTGTTTTCCCTATACCAGCGTCTTTGTTGCGAATTTCCAGTGCTACGGCAACGGGAGCCGCGTACCAAGCTGGCCAAGCCGGATACGCCGTAGCCGCCCCGGCTACCGCCGCCGCCGCTGCCGCGACGTACGGCACCCAGCGAGCCGCGGGGTACGACACGGCCTATCAAGCAGCCGCCGCCACCCAGGGCACGTACGCGGCCGTGGGCACCGGGGCCACGCCGGCCTACGAATACGGTTACGGTAAGGCGTTGCGTCGTTACGAGCGAGGATTGATTTGAGTGGGTTGCAGGTCAAACAGCCGCCGCCGGGTACACAGGGGGCTACGATCAGACGGCCGCCGCCGCTGCCGCCAAGCCGGCGACTTATGCGACTACATACACCCAGAGGGCTGCGGGACAACCACAAGCACAAGCAGCGGTAAGTTGGCGATGTTAGAATTTTGGGGTATTTTGTTAGTGACGTCATTTTAATTAGCACAGGGGGGCGTAAAATTAAACCATTGCCGGGAATTGTAACATTGGTATTGTGAAACGGCGGGAAAAGAATGAAACTTTCTATTATCAAATACTGAATGACTTGATGATTGTGACTTTTTTTGTCAGGTTGGCAACATATTTAAAATTTTATTCTATGATGACATAGCTCTCTCAAAGTTGCCGCCAATAAAATAGAATTACCAACACAATAACAACCATCGTATCGTTCCTATTGGCGAAAACGTGTTTTTAAAGTAAACTAATTTTATCACTTATTCAACAGAATTTGTTCAATATTGAAAATAGTCTTTGTGAAACAAAATGCTCGAACGAACTGATGTAAAAATAATTGAAGTCGCTGTTAGATTAGGTTATTAATGGCGCGAAATTTGCGCATGACGTCATCGTGTCGTGTGACCTATTCGGGATGTCAGATAAAGGGGTGATGATAACGTTCCGTTTTTGGAGTCTGCGCACTCATACTGAATCAAGCAGTTTGAATAAAAGGTTTGATTTTTATATAAATGAATGAATAAATGATTTGATAACATCTATGCGTTATGTATATTTTTTATACATCATATGAATGATGCGAAATAAAAAAAAAAACGAGATAAATTAAATTCAACAAGCATTTTTCAAAGTTCGCAGTTGATTAACGCAGTTTTAATGTATTACTTCCCGGACGTAGCTAAATAACTAGTGAAATATGATGTTTCATGTTTTTCGGCGTTTCGGAACTCCTAGAATACGAGAATAAATATTTCTTTTCCGACCGTTTGTCGTCGATATTTTATTAGACAAGTAATCTCCGAAACTACTCGACTGATTGTTGTTAAATCTTAAGAAAATCGTGTAGGTGGTAAAAGCAAAAATTTGTGTGATCATCCCACTGAAAATTTTGTGAAATTTTGATATTGAGCAAAAATCTATATATTTTATCACGTGATACATACAAAACTTTGTCTTGGCGTTTAGTTTTTGATATTAATTTAAAAAAGTCATCTTTGCACATTATTATTTATTCGGATTTTTTAAATTTTGGATTGTATTGATTTTTTTAATTTTTTTGAATTGTTGGGTTTTTGAAACTTGGATTTCCTGAATTCTCGGGTTTTTTGAATTTTTCCGGCGCTTAATCTTTGTTGTTTTTTTTTTAATATATAGAGTTTCGACAACAGGATAGTTAAATATGTTTTCAGTTTCTTGTTGGAAAAAGAAGACTTCGTATGTTAAGAAAATGTGGACAAAATATATGCCTCGCCCACCCACCCCTTCTCAATTGTGATGAATGTTTTATTCATAGTGAATTGACGGGCGTAGTTTAGTTGCAAAATCCTCATTTCTTTACAAGAAATTACCATATGAAATCATCACAATTGAGATTGAATTTAAACGTCCAAAAGTGGAAAAATCCGGAAACTGGAAAATTTAAAATGAAAAATTTTAGAGATATCGTGAAATTAAAGGAAAAAAAAAAGAAAAATTGCAGAATGAAAAACTGATGAAACGAAAAATTGAAAAAACAAACAGTTATAAAATCGGGACATTGAAAAATTGTAAAAATAAAGAAAATAAAAAATTGAAATGAAAAATTGCAAATGGAAAAATTAAAAATTGAAAACTCGATAAATTCAAATCCAAAAATTGCAAAATCTAGAAATTGAATGGAAAAGTTTTAAATTTGAAAACTCGAAAAAACGAAGGAACAAAAAAAATGAAAACGAAGAAAAATTCAAGTCAAATAAGCTGCGGGGGCATTATTTACACCACTGGGTTTTACTTTATTAATCTCTATTATCCCAAAACAAAAATCGCAAAAAAATGATAATTTTTCAGAGAAGTGGGATTTATTTTTATATTAATTTAAAAAAGTCATCTTTGCACATTATTATTTTATTTCCTCGGATTTTTTCAATTCTGGATTGTATTGAGTTTTTTCATTTTTTTGAATTGTTCGGGTTTTTGAAACTATTGAATTTCCTGAATTCTTGGGTTTTTTTTAATTTTTCCGGCGCTTAATCTTTGTTTTTTTAAATATATAGAGTTTTCTTTCGACAACAGGATAGTTAAATATGTTTTCAGTTTCTTGTTGGAAAAAAAAGACTTCGTATGTTAAGAAAATGTGGACAAAATATATAATCCCACCCACCCACCCCTTCTCAATTGTGATTAATATTTTATTCATTATTACCTGAAGGGCGGAGTTTAGCTGCAAAATTCTCATTTCTTTACAAGAAATTACCATATGAAATCATCACAATTGAGATTGGGGCGGGGCTTAATCTTCGTTGTTTTTTTCTTTATATACGTAGTTTTCTTTCAACAACGGGATGGTCAAACATGTTTTCAGTTTTTTGTTGGAAAAAGAAGACTTCGTATATTAAGGAAAAATGGACAAAATATATACAACGCCCACCCACCCCTTCTCAATTGTGATGAATGTTTTATTTATAGTGAATTGACGGGCGGAGTTTAGTTGCAAAATCCTCATTCCTTTACAAGAAATTACCATATGAAATCATCACAATTGAGATTGGGGCGGGTGGGTGGGGCTTAATCTTCGTTGTTTTTTTCTTTCTATACGTAGTTTTCTTTCAACAACGGGATGGTCAAACATGTTTTCAGTTTTTTGTTGGAAAAAGAAGACTTCGTATATTAAGGAAAAATGGACAAAATATAAACCCCGCCCACCCACCCCTTCTTAATTGTGACGAATGTTTTATTCATAGTCAGTTGACGGGCGGAGTTTAGTTGCAAAATCCTCATTTCTGTGAAAATTTAAACGTCCAAAAGTGGGAAAATCGGGAAACTGGAAAATTTAAAATGAAAAATTTTAGAGATATCGTGAAATTAAAGGGGAAAAAAAAAAGAAAAATTGCAGAATGAAAAACTGATGAAACGAAAAATTGAAAAAATAAACAGTTATAAAATCGGGACATTGAAAAATTGTAAAAGTAAAGAAAATAAAAAATTGAAACGAAAAATTGCAAATGGAAAAATTAAAAATTGAAAACTCGCTAAATTCAAATCCAAAAATTGCAAAATCTAGAAATTGAATGGAAAAGTTTTAAATTTGAAAACTCGAAAAAACAAAGGAGCAAAAAAAAATGAAAACTTGAAGAAAAATTCAACTCAAACAAGCTGCGGGAGCATTATTTACACCACTGGGTTTTACTGTATTAATCTCTATTATCCGAAAACAAAAATCGCAAAAAAATTATAATTTTTCAGAGAAGTGGGATTTATTTTGATATTAATTTAAAAAAGTCATCTTTGCACATTATTATTTTATTTCCTCGGATTTTTTAAATTCTGGATTGTATTGAGTTTTTTAATTTTTTTGAATTGTTCGTGTTTTTGAAACTATTGGATTTCCTGAATTCTCGGGTTTTTTGAATTTTTCCGGCGCTTAGTCTTTGATTTTTTTTTTTTTATAATATATAGAGTTTTCTTTCAACAATAGGATAGTTAAATATGTTTTCAGTTTCTTGTTGGAAAAAGAAGACTTCGTATGTTAAGAAAAAAATGGACAAAATATAAACCCCGCCCACCCACCCTTTCTCAATTGTGGTGAATATTTTATTCATAGTGAATTGACGGGCGGAGTTTAGTTACAAAATCCTTATTTCTTTACAAGAAATTACCATATGAAATCATCACAATTAAGATTGGGGCGGGTGGGTGGGGCTTAATCTTCGTTGTTTTTTTCTTTTTATACGTAGTTTTCTTTCAACAACGGGATGGTCAAACATGTTTTCAGTTTCTTGTTGGAAAAAGAAGACTTCGTATTTTAAGGAAAAAAGGACAAAATATAAACCCCGCCCACCCACCCACCCCTTCTCAATTGTGGTGAATGTTTTATTCATAGTGAGTTGACGGGCGGAGTTTAGTTGCAAAATCCTCATTTCTCTAAAAATTTAAGCGTCCAAAAGTGGGAAAATCGGGAAACTGGAAAATTTAAAATGAAAAATTTTAGAGATATCGTGAAATCAAAGGAAAAAAAAAAGAAAAATTGCAGAATGAAAAACTGATGAACCGAAAAATTGAAAAAACAAACAGTTATAAAATCGGGACATTGAAAAATTGTAAAAATAAAGAAAATAAAAATTGAAACGAAAAATTGCAAATGGAAAAATGAAAAACTCGAAAAAATTGAAGTCAAATAAGCTGCGGGAGCATTATTTACACCACTGGGTTTTACTTTATTAATTTCTATTATCAGAAAACAAAAATCGCAAAAAAAATGATAATTTTTCAGAGAAGTGGGATTTATTTGGCTGCACTTCAGAGGCGGAGGAAGTTCTGTTAAAATAACCTTTGACCATTTTTTTTATTATTATTTCTTCGATTGTTTCGATTATTTCGATAATTTTATTTATTTTGTGTTTTGTATTTTTTGGAAATTTTTGAATTATTGGAGTTGAGTTTTTAGTTTCTTGGCTTTTTTGAATTTTTCGAATTATTGTGTTTTCTTGAATGTCTTGTGTTTCTTGTTCTTTTTTTGGAATTTTTTTGGTTTTTCATTTTTTTGGATTTTCTGTATTTTTTTGGGTTTGTTGGATTTTTTGGATTTTTGGTAATATTCACATGTTTGGCGTTTTTTGTTTGTATTTTATTGTTCTTTCTTTTCGGGTCGCCACAGGTAAATTGAGTAGGTGCAAAACTGTGGGCGGGCTAAATTTCTTTTTTTTTTTTTCTAGTTTTAGGAACAAGCAGTAGCCCCACCCACCCACCCCTTGTTCTTTCCAGTGACTACTCTTATATTGTTTAGTCCTAGATTAGAAAGTTTTAGCCCCGCCTGCCCACCCTTTTTTGCTAAGAAGATATACCTTTTCCAAAATCAATCTTAACAGATACTAGCCCCTCCCACCCGCCTTCTATTTTAGAGGGTATGTCGTTTGCCACAATCAGTCTTATCTTAGCAAGTACTAACCCCTCCCTCCCACCCTTTATTTTCTTAGAGTGTATGTGATTTACCAAAATCAATCTTATCTTAGCAGATACTAACCCCGCCCACACACAATGTTGAGAGACGGGTGGGTGGGCGGGGCCAAGTTTAATTTTTACATTCCGAATATATTATAAGCAAGCAATAGCCCCGCCCACCCACTTCATTCCAGTGAAAAAAACAAGAATGACTTAAATCAGCGATTTAAACGTTTTGATCTATTGTAGCTTAATTAATCTCGTCGGTTTTGGGGAGACAAAATCGATCAAATTTTTTTTTTTTGAGCACAAATGCATTTTTTTCCCTGCCGCCTTTTATTTGGATTAGCCATTTTCTGTATGTGCTTAATAGTCGAATTCTTTCGATGCACAACTATAAGCATAAAAAATTGCAAATGAAAAATTGAAAACTCGGTAAATTCAAATCCAAAAATTGCAAAATCTAGAAATTGATTGGAAAAGTTTTAAACTTGAAAACTCGAAAAAACGAGGGAACAAAAAAAAATTGAAAATTTAAAAAATTCAAGTCAAATAAGCTGCGGGAGCATTATTTACGCCACTGGTTTTTACTTTATAGAGATTATCAGAAAACCAAAATCGCAAAAAAAAAAGATAATTTTTCAAAGTGGGATTTATTTGGCTGCACTTCTGAGGCGAGGGAAGTTTTGTTAAAATAACCTTCGACCATTTTTTTTTTTTAATCATTATTTTTTCGATTGTTTCGATTATTTGAATAATTTTATTTTTTTATTTTGTGTTTTGTATTTTTTGAATTATTGAAGTTGAGTTTTTAGTTTCTTGGGTTTCTTGAATTTTTTGGATTATTGTGTTTTCTTGAATGTCTTGTGTTTTTGGCTTGTTTTTTCGGAATTTTTTTGGTTTTGGATTTTTGGTTTTTAATTTTTTTTGATTTTCTGGATTTTTTTCTGGGTTTGTTGGATCTTTTGGGTTTTCTGGTAATAAATGTTGTTATTCACATGTTTGGCGTTTTTTGTTTGTATTTTATTGTTCTTTCTTTTCGGGTCGCCACAGGTAAATTGAGTAGGTGCAAAACTGTGGGCGGGCTAAATTTCATTTTTTTTTTCTAGTTTTAAGAACAAGCAGTAGCCCCACCCTCCAACCCTTTATTTTCTTAGAGCGTATGACATTTACCAAAATCAATCTTATCTTAGCGGATACTAGCCCCGCCCACACACTATGTTGAGAAACGGGTGGGTGGGCGGGGCTAAGTTTAACTTTTTCATTCAGAATATATTATAAGCAAACAATAGCCCCACCCACCCACCCCCTCTTCATTCCAGTGATTACTTTTAATATTGTTCAGTCATTTACCAAAATCAATCTTATTTTAACAAATATCAATATATATAATTTAATTTGTCACAATCAGTCTTATCTTAGCAAATACTTCAGTACACCAAGTTCATATACGTATCCTTACAAATGAAAAAAGAAATTGCATTTTATTTTGTTGGAAATATTTTAGTCTAGTCAGTGTTCAATTTATTTTGTTTTAAACTGTACTTAAAAACAACAAGTGCATGACATTTTCTTATTTGGAAAGGAAAGTTTTTAAGAAAAAAACGAGAATGACTTAAATCAGTGATTTAAATAGTTTGATCTATTGTTGCAAAATCGATCAAATTTTGTTTCTATTAAAACAAATGCATATTTTTTTTCTGCCGCCCGTTATTTGGATTAACCAACTTCTTACGTGCTTAATAGTCGAATTCTTTCGACAACTATAATAATAAAAAAATCGAAGTTAAACATGTACTAATAATATATTTCTCTACAATTTTCTGAAGTTGTAACGCCAAATTGATACCGTTTAAGTAATATTGGTTTTTGTTGGGTCACTTTATTTTAAGTTAGGACATCTGTTTATAACTTATGTAATCTTCTAATTTCCAAATGTTCCTTAATTTATGGCAAACCGCAACCACCATAAATATGGGTTATTTACAACTAGACCTTCAACATTCCGATTTTTCCGCGTTCGGTGTGAGCTGGTAGTAATTTCAGAAAATCCACGAATTCGAAAGGTATCCTTGTACCGACTTCTAAAAATTGCAAAATTCGGAAAGCAATATAAATAACCAATGCTGAAAATATATTTTATGTAAATATAGAAACAGGATTTCATTTGATAATATACAGAATGCGTTTCACTCGATACATATAATGTTTTATGTATGTAGGTTCGTTATTCTGATTGAAGAGAGTAAGAAATACAAAAGGAACTGTGTAATTCAATCTAGTTAGTTGATTTTCAGTTCGTTCCAGGTTTATGAGAAATTCAATATAAATTACTGAAAATGTAAAAAATTGTGCTATTTATTGCCTTGACGACACTCGGTATATTTACCTATGCGATGTTTGAAAAAAAAAATCGCTTCAGGTGTGTTTTTATTTTTATTTTAAAACGAAAAGTGCAAGCCAGAGAATGCGACGTCTACTTTCGACTCCCATAAGTCACGGTTTTTTTTAGACGCAAGGTAAATACATGATGTAACGGCATTCGCATGAACCTTTCAGTTCGTCGACACCCGGCGTCTGTTTTTAATATTTTATTAATAACGTCCAACACAATTCATTTATTCACATGTTCGTTCAAAATGACATTTATTACACCCGAACCTCCGACGAATAATAATTCGTTTTCGCCGTGCCAGCGACAGTCTGATCCGGAAAATGACGAGAAAATGTTTCTCTTTCTACAGGCAGCAGCAGCAGCAGCCGCGAAACCAGCTCAGTACACCGGGACTTATCAAGCTAATGCAACTGGTTATCAAGCTACCTACGCCCAGCCAGCAGCGCAGACAACAATAGCTGCACAACCTACCACACAAGCTAAGCGTGAGTATACGAGGAAAGTAGGAGTTTCTTATTTTTATGATTCGCGTTGCACACAGAAGCTAACTCCACCACAACGTATTCCGGATACGACGCAGCGCTGTATTCGGCAGCGACAATGTACGTCGCCCAGCAGGGCGGAGCCGCTCAGCAGAAATCTGGAGGTTGGCAAGGGTACAAGAAAGGCGGGATTGGCGCCAAAAACATGAGGACGAAGGCGCCACCTAAACCGCAGCAGCTGCACTACTGCGACGTGTGCAAGATCAGGTAAGATGGCGGTAATGTGACTGTAGGTTAAGTGTGTGGCAATTGACATTTTCCGGCTATTTTGACAGCAGGTGTTTTCTGTTGTCATTATGGCGATCCTGTGCACTGTTATTGCTTTATTTGTTTATCCCTTCCAAAAAATTGATGACGTCATCTTTGATTTCTCAATTATTCGTTTTCCGATTTCTTTAGTTTTCAGCATTTCAATTTTTAAGTTTCTCAGTTTTAATCTTTCGATTATTCAATTTTTCGTTTCTTCAGCTTTGTAATTTTTCCAAACATCCAGATTTTTGGAATATACCGAAATTTCATAACAATATTTTGCAATTTTAAACTGCAAAACCGAATACCATGAAATATTTTAAGGTTGTCGTAGTCATGGTAAATCGTTGATCAAGATTTATTCGTTTATCCCCTTCCAAAGAACTGATGACGTCATCTCAGAATTTTGGCGAATATAATATTCTGAAATATACAAAATAATATGACTCTAAATTGTGGTTTATCAATGCACTCGTTTATTTTAAAATTGCTTACATAGGGTGACTCAATACAAAACAAAAGGATTAATTATATTATTATTAATTTTATCGGATTGATTAAAATCAAAAACGACCTACTCCATTTTTTCGAAAATTTGGGAATACAGTACTGTATTGCGAGTATTAAGCTGGATTTACTTACCTTCGATCAATTTTAATTATAAAATCGAAAGAAGCAATGAAAACATAAAGGAAATGGAAAAACGAAAAATTAAAAATTGAAAAACTGAAAAATCGAAAAATTAAAAATTGTAATATCGAAAAAATGGCAAAATTAAGATACTGCAAATCGAAAAATTGAGGAAACATTCAGGTTTTTGAATCTTCAGTTTTTCGATTTCCTGATTTTTCAATCTTTCGATTTCACAATTGTTCGCTGTTTCAGTTTTGGGATTCTTCATTTTTCCTGCATTTTTCAATCTTTCGATTACTCGATTTCTTAATTTTTCCATATTTTAAATTCTCAATTTTTAAAATTTCAGATTTTTCGATTTTTCAAATTTGTCGTTTTTTTTTAAATTTTAGGTTTTTCAGTTTTTTGTTTTGATTTCTTAATTTTTCGATTTTTTGACTTTACGGTTTTAAAATTTTTCGGTTTTTCAATTTATCCCTGGATTTGTCGAGATTTCAATCTATCGATTTTTTATTTATTTTAAATTTTAGGTCATTTCATTTTTGAAACTTTAATTTTCCTATTTTTCAATTTTTGCGATTTTTTTAAATTTTGGATTTCCTATTTCTCGGTTTTTCCACATTGAAGTTTATCGATTTTTCAATTTTTGAATTTTCACAATTTCTCGATTTTTGATGTTTGAATTCTTCAATTTTTAGATATTTAATTTTTCAGGTTTTTGAATTTTCGGTTTTTCGATTTCTCGATTTTTCATTTTCAATCTTTCGATTGTTCGTTGTTTCTGTTTTGGGATTCTTGATTTTTTCTCCATTTTTCAATTTTTCATGTTTTAGTTTTGAGTTTTCAATATTTCGCTTCTTCAATTTTCCGATTTTTTGTTTCGATTTCTTATTTCTTTTAATTTGTCGATTTATTAAAATTTTGAGGTTTTTCAGTTTTTTGATGTTTTGATTTCTTAATCTTTCGATTTTTAGAATTTTGGGTTTTAGATTTTTAGATTTTTTAATTTTTCGGTTTTTAAATTTTTCAATTTATCTATTCCTGGAATTATCGAGATTTCGATCGATCGATGTTTTTATTTTAAATTTTTCAAATTTTAACTTTTCGACTTTGGCCTTTAATTCCCAATTTTACGCCATTTCATTTTTGAAATTTTTCAATTTTCCGATTTTTTAAAATTCTAGATTTTCTATTTCTCGATTTTTTGTGGTTTGGATTCTTCAATTTTTGGATATTTTAATTTTTTAATTTATTAAATTTTAGATATTTTAATTCTTCGATATTTCAATTTTCCGAAATCGGAAATTCGGACAATTAGAAATCTACAAACTGCAAAACTGAAAAAACGAAAAGTTGTGAAAATGAAAAAACCGGGAAAATAAGAAATCAAAATCAAGAACTTGAAAATTTGAGGGAACGAAAAATTAAAAATTGAGAAACTGAAAAATCGAAAAATAACAAATCGAAAAATGAAAAATTGTAATATCTAAAAAATTGCAAAACTGAAAAACTGCGATTCCAAAAAATGAAAAATTTTTCGTTGTTTCAGTTTTGATCTTCATTTTTCCTCCGTTTTTCAATATTTCGGTTCTTCAGTTTTCCGATTTTTTGTTTCGATATCTTAATTTTTCGGTATTTAAATTTTTCAAGTTTTAAAATTTTAGATTTTTCGATTTTTCAATTTGTCGATTTTTTAAAATTTTAGGTTTTTCAGTTTTTTGTTTTGATTTCTTAATTTTCCGATTTTTTGACTTTCCGGTTTTAAAACTTTTCGGTTTTTATTCTGTGGTTTTTCGATTTTTCAATTTTTGCGATTTTTTTTAATTTTAGATTTTCTATTTCTCGGTTTTTCCCCATTAAAGTTTTATCAATTTTTCGATTTTTCAATTTTTCGATTTTCACAATTTCTCGATTTTTGATGTTTGGATTCTTCAATTTTTAGATATTTAATTTTTCAGGTTTTTGAATTTTCGGTTTTTCGATTTCTCGATTTTTCATTTTCAATCTTTCGATTTCACAATTGTTCGTTGTTTCTGTTTTGGGATTCTTGATTTTTCCTCCATTTTTCAATTTTTCCTCCAATTTTCAATATTTCGGTTCTTCAGTTTTCCGATTTTTTGTTTCGTTTTCAAGTTTTAAAATTTTAGATTTTTCGATTTTTCAATTTGTCGATTTTTTAGTTATTCGATAATTATATTTTTCCACTAGTAGCATTACAATGGCTAATTGTCGACTTGTCTAGAGGTCTGTAATTTGGAAAATTGTGAACCTTGGTCAATAATGTAAACGTGAAGTTGGCCACCTAATGTGACAACTGTCCACAACTGTCAGAAAAACTGAGACATAACCTGAAAACGATCATTTTGGAAAATTTGCTTTTAAATTATGCCCTGGAATGATTTCCAAACCCTGAATTGATTATAAATTGAGGATAAATTGGTGAAACAACGTTGATGAAGTTGATGGGAGTGAAAATGAAGTTTACGGTACTGAAACTGAATCATGGTTCCGATTTGGTTTGACTTGATTTGCCGTAGATGAGCTTTGGACGATTTCGGCGATTTTTTTTTAATTGAAGATCGAGCCGTCGTTGTATCCTTCTGCTATGCTGGAGGATTTCCATTCCCCGTGTCGCTTTAACGATAAAAGGTCCATACCTTTTTCAGCCAAATTTGTCGCGGTCGCGTAAATACGACGGAATGAGGAGGGGTACATAATGGTTCACTTTACAACATTTTTCACACAAAAATTTATTAAAAACGGGAAATATGGAGGAAATTAAAACAAAAGTTCTGGACCATTTCTGGATTGTCAAAAAATAATAAAATTCCAAAACTTACTAAAATGACGTGAGTACACGTTTTTATTGATGCACTTCAGAAAAAACATTTTGAAAATTCGCAAACCTCAAATGGGCTACTAGTGGAAAAAATAGTATATTAACCACGTTTGTGAAGCCAATTCTAGACCTCGCGCTTTAGAGCCCTTGACGCTGCGCGTCTCAGATTCTAATTTGCGCTCGGTCTAGAATGTCTGTCTTCACAACCTTAGTTAATAATATATTATATTAGAATTCTAAAAGCTGCAAAACTGAAAAAGCAAAAAATTATAAAATCGAAAGAAAACTTGAAAAAATAAAGGAACTGAAATCGAAAAATTGCGAGAATGAAAAACTGGGGAAAATGAATATAAAAATCAAGAACTTGAAAAATTGAGGAAACGGAAAATTAAAAATTGAGAAGCTGAAAAAATCGAAAAATGAACATTGTAATCTCGAAAAAATTGCAAAGTCGAAAAACTGCGAATCCAAAAATGAGGAAACATTTTTCGTTCCTTCAATTGTTCTATTTTCAGGTTTTTGAATTTTCAATTTTTCGGTTTCTCGATTTTTCAATCTTTCGATTTCACAATTGTTCGTTGTTTCAGTTTTTGGCTTCTTCAGTATTTCGGTTCTTTGATTTTCTGATTTTCTCTGTTTCAATTTCCTGATTTTTTTATTTTTTCGTATCTTAATTTTTCAGTTCTTCGATTTTTTGATCTTTTGAATTTTTGAGTGCGGTTTTAGATTTTTCGATTTTTCATTTTTTTTTTTATTCCTTGGTTTTTCGATTTTTCAATTTATTCCTGGATTTGTCGAGATTTCAATCTATTGATTTTTTATTTTAAATTGTTACAATTTTTAACTTTTCGACTTTGGCCCCAATTTCCCAATTTACGTCATTTTTATTTTTGAAGTTTTTCAATTTTCCGATTTTTCAATTTTTGCAATTTTTTTAAATTTTGTATTTTCTATTTCTCGAATTTTAATGGTTGGATTCTTCAATTTTTAAATATTTTAATTTTTCAATTTATTAAATTTTCGATTTTTTCATTTTTTTAGTTTTTCGATATCTCGATTTTCCGAAATCGGAAATTCGAATAATTAGAAATCTAAAAACTGCAAAACTGGAAAATCAACCAACTATAAAACCGAAAGAAAACTTGAAAAAATAATGGAAATGAAAAAACGAAAAATTGTGGAATTGAAAAAATGAGGAAAATTCGTTCCTTCAATTTTCCGATTTTCAGGTTTTTGGATTTTTAGTTTTTCGATTTTTCAATCTTTCGATTTCACAATTGTTCGTAGTTTCAGTTTTGGGATTCTTCAGTTTTTCCTCATTTTTCATATTTCAGTTTTGAGTTTTCTTTATTTCGGTTCTTCAATTTTCCGATTTTTGATGTTTCTATTTCCTGATTTCTTAATTTTTCGATATTTTTCTTTTTCAATTTTTAAAGTTTTGGATTTTTCAATTTTACAGTTCTTCGATTTTTTTATTCTTTGGTTTTTCAATTTATCCCTGGATTTGTCAAGATTTCGATCTATCGATTTTTTATTTAAAATTTTTCAATTTTTAACTTTTCGACTTTGGCCCCTATTTCCCAATTTTACGTCATTTTTATTTTTGAAGTTTTTCAATTTTCTGATTTTTCAATTTTTTAAATTTTGTATTTTCTATTTCTCGATTTTTTGACATTTCGGTTTATCAATTTTTGGATTTTAAAATTTTTTAATTTTCGCTATTTCTCGAATTTTAATGGTTGGATTCTTCAATTTTTAGATATTTTAATTTTTCAATTTATGAAATTTTCGATTTTTCGATTTTTTTAGTTCTTCGATATCTCGATTTCCCGAAATCGGAAATTCGGATAATTAGAAATCTAAAAACTGCAAAACTGAAAAATCAACCAATTATAAAATCGAAAGAAAACTTGAAAAAATAATAGAAGTGAAAAAACGAAAAATTGTGAAAATGAAAAAATGAGGAAAATTCGTTCCTTCAATTTTCCGATTTTCAGGTTTTTCGATCTTTTGATTTCACAATTCTGCATTATTTCAGTTTTGGGATTCTTCAGTTTTTCCTCATTTTTCATATTTCAGTTTTGAGTTTTCAATATTTCGGTTCTTTCATTTTCCGATTTTCTGTGTAGATTTCCTGATTTCTTAATTTTTCCATATTTTTCTTTTTCAATTTTTAAAATTTTAGATTTTTCAATTTTTGCAGTTCTTCGATTTTTCGATTTGTCGGTTTTTTTAATTTTAGGTTTTTCAGTTTTTTGATGTTTTGATCTTTCGATTTTTTGACTATGGTTTTAGATTTTTCAATTTTTTTATTCTTTGATTTTGCGATTTTTCAATTTATTTATTCCTGGATTTGTCGAGATTTCGATCTATCGATTTTTAATTTTTAATTTTAAATTTTTCGTCGATTTCCCAATTTTTTGTCATTTCATTTTTGAGATTTTTCAAATTTTGGATTTTCTATTTCTCGATTTTTTAGTTCTTCGATGTATATATAAATTCGAATAATTAGAATTTTAAAAAATGCAAAACTGAAAAAGCAAAAAATTATGAAATCGAAAAAAATAAAGGAAATGTAAACACGAAAAATTGTGAAAATGAAAAAATGGGGAAAATAAATAAAAATTAAGAACTTCAAAAATTGAGGAAACGAAAAATTAAAAATTGGGAAGCTGAAAAATCGAAAAATGAAAAATTGTAATATCGAAAAAATTGCAAAATTGAAAAACTGTTAATTCAAAAATGAGGAAACTTTTTTCGTTCCTTCAATTGTTCTATTTTCAGGTTTTTGAATTTTCAATTTTTCGGTTTCTCGATTTTTCAATCTTTCGATTTCACAATTGTTCGTTGTTTCAGTTTTGGGGTTCTTCAGTTTTTCCTCCATTTTTTAATGTTTCAGTTTTGAGTTTTCAATATTTCGGTTCTTTATTTTTCCGATTTTCTATGTTTCGATTTCCTGATTTCTTAATTTTTCCATATTTTAGTTTTTCATTTTTTTAAATTTCAGATTTTTCAATTTTTCAGTTCTTCGATTTTTAGATTTGTCGGTTTTTTTAAAATTTTATGTTATTCAGTTTTTTGATGTTTTGATGTTTCGATTTTTTGACTTGACGGTTTTAGATTTTCCGATTTTTTTTTTGTTTTTCGATTTTTCAGTTTATTTATTCCTGGATTTGTCGAGATTTCGATCTATCGATTTTTAATTTTAAATTTTTAACTTTTCGTCTATTTCCCAATTTTTTGTCATTTCATTTTTGCGATTTTTAAAATTTTGGATTTTCTATTTCTCGATTTTTTAGTTCTTCGATATCTATTTTTCGAAATCGGAAATTCGAATAATTAGAAATCTAAAAACTGCAAAACTGATAAAGCAAAAAATTATAAAATCGAAAGAGAACTTGAAAAAACAAAGGATATGTAAAAACGAAAAATTGAGAAGCTGAAAAATCGAAAAATGAAAATTGTAATATCGAAAAAATTGCAAAATTGAAAAACTGCGAATCCAAAAATGAAACATTTTTCGTTCCTTCAATTGTTCTACTTTCAGGTTTTTGAATCTTCAATTTTTCGGTTTCTCGATTTTTCAATCTTTCGATTTCACAATTGTTCGTTGTTTCACTTTTGGGATTCTTCAGTTTTTCCTCCATTTTTCAATATCTCATATTTCAGTTTTGAGTTTTCAATATTTCGGGTCTTTAATTTTCCGATTTTCTGTTTCGATTTCCTGATTTCTTAATTTTTCCGTATTCTAGTTTTTCAATTATTAAAATTTTAAATTTTTCAATTTTTCACTTCTTCGATTTTTCGATTTATCGCTTTTTTAAAATTTTACGTTTTTCAGTTTTTTGATGTTTTGACCTTTCGATGATTTTTTGACTTTACGGTTTTATATTTTTCAATTTTTTTATTCTTTGGTTTTCCGACTTTTCAATTTATTTATTCCTGGATTTGTCGAGATTTCGATCTATTGATTTTTTATTTTAAATTTTTACAATTTTTAACTTTTCGACTTTCCCAATTTTTTTGTCATCTCATTTTTGCAATTTTTTAAATTTTGGATTTTCTATTTCTCGATTTTTTAATTTTTCGATATTTTCATGTTTCAATCTATTAAATTTTAGATTTTTTCGTGTTTTCGATATTTCCAGTTTTTTGATTTTTCAATTTTTTAAATTTAAAATGTTAATCAAATAACTGGAAATCTAAAAATTGCAAAATTGAAAAATCAAAAAAATTATAAAATCGAAAGAAAACTTGGCAAAAATAAAGGAAATGAAAAAATGAAAAATTGCGATAAAAAAATCGAGAATGAAAATTAAAATAACGGAAAAATGAAAAATAGAAATCAAGATCTTGAAAAATTGCAAATCGAACATTTTTTCAACATTTGGGTTCTTAAATTTTTTGATTTTTAATTCTTTTAGCTTTTCAATTTTTGAAATTTTAATTTTTCGATTTTTCAATTGTCAATTTTTTTTTTTTATTCATTTGTTAATCTGTCGATTTTCGACTTGTCGGTTTTAGAATTTTCAATTTTTAAAAATTTTGATTTTTCGATTTTTCAATTTTTTGGTTTTTACATTTTTTGATTCTTTTTTTCAAATTATCTATTTCTCAATTTCACGAGATTTCGATGTTTTGACCGTCCGATTTCACGATTTTTTATTTCAAATTTTTCAGTTTTTAACTTTCCGACTTTGGCCTCTATTTCCCAATTTTACGTCATTTCATTTTTGGAATTTTTCAATTTTTGCGATTTTTTTAAATTTTGTATTTTCTATTTCTCGATTTTTCGACTCTTCAGTTTTTCAATTTTTCGATGTTTTCATTTATCAATTTATTTAATTTTAGATTTTTTCGTGTTTTCGATGTTTCAGTTTTTCGATATTCCAGTTTTTTGATTTTTAAATTTAAAATATTTGGAAATCGGGAAATCGGATAACTGGAAATCTAAAAATTTACAAAATTGAAAAATCAAGAAAATTATAAAATCGAAAGAAAACTTGGAAAAAATAAAGGAAATGAAAAAATGAAAAATTGTGATAAAAAATCGAGAATGAAAATTAAAATAACGGAAAAATGAAAAATAAAAATCATCTTTCGATTTTCGACTTCTCGGTTTTAGATTTTTTGATTTTTAGATTTTTCAATTTTTCGGTTTTTAAATTTTTTTATTCTTTAGGTTTTGGATTTTTCAATTTATCCATTTCTCAATTTCACGAGATTTCGACGTTTGATTGTTCAATTCCTCGATTTTTTTAATATTTAGATTCATCGATTTTTTATTTTAAATTTTTCAGTTTTTAATTTTCCAATTTTCCGACTTTGGCCTCTATTTACGTCATTTTATTTCATTTCATTTTTAAGAATTTTTCAGTTTTAACGATTTTTCAATTTTTGCGATTTTTAAAATTCTGGATTTTCTATTTCTCGATTTTTGATGCTTGGATTCTTCAATTTTAGGGAATTTTAATTTTTCGATTTATTAAATTTTAGATTTAAATGAAAAATTTTAAAATCGAAAAAAAATATAAGGCGAATGAAAAACCAAAAAACGGAAAAATGAAAAAAAAATCAACTTGAAAAATTCAAAATAAAAAAAAAAATTGAGAACCTGTTAAGTAATACAGAAATGGAAAGAGTGTAAATTAAAGAAATTACTTTTCTCGTGCTATCCTTGTCTAGCACATAGTTCAGTATCAGTTCCATCTCAGGTAAATTGCCACACTTTTAAAATTGTATAAGAATTTGCAAGGAGAATTCCGGCGACTGGTATCAAGTTTGCCGTTCAGACACCTTGCTATAGGAAAAGATGGGAAAATAACCTGATGGTTGCTCAAAAAATGAGCAACTATTCTTACTTACCATCTGACAGTGCCTTATTTGCTAGTACTTTGAGGTGATTGTTGCGTTTGTTGCAGTTGCGCCGGTCCACAGACCTACCGCGAACACTTGGAAGGTCAGAAACATAAGAAGCGCGAAGCTGCCACCAAAATGGCCGCTTCCGTTGCCGTTACAAATCAAAATCGCGCCGGAAACTCGTTGAGATGTCAATTGTGTGACGTTACATGTACAGGTGAGTGTGTAAAGCGTTGAGTTAGTTAGATCGCGTAAATTTTTTCCCTCAGGAAACGACGCATACGCCGCCCACATTCGAGGAGCCAAACATCAAAAAGTCGTATTGTTACATACGAAACTGGGCAAACCGATCCCACCGCAGGAACCAGAAATAATTGGTGGTCCTCGTAAGTCCGTTTCCTCCACACCAAAGATAAACTTTGTGCAATCAGGAGGTCTCGGCATTCCCACAGGTAATGGAGATTCAAAAGATGACGAAGTTGATGAACAGCCCGAGCCGGACATCCAACCAGTCGGCCAAGACTATATCGAGGAGATCAAGAGCGATGACGGCAAGGTACGATCATGTCAACTTTTCTTCCAAATCAAAAACCCTTCTTCTACCACTTCTACTTCTACTCCACGGACGTCCAGGTCCTGGTACTCACACAAATTCTCTTTGGTAGGTTATTAGTTTTAATTGTAAGCTGTGCGAGTGTCGTTTCAACGATCCCAACGCTAAAGAAATGCACATGAAAGGGAGACGTCACAGGTTACAATACAAGAAGAAGGTCAATCCGGACTTGGTCGTTGATGTTAAACCGTCGTTGCGCCAGAGAAAGATACAAGAGGAAAAGATGAGACGAGCCGTAAGTGGATTTTCAGTGTGCGGGATGCTTTGTGATCGTCTTGAAATTGTAAAAGAGACGCACTCGACAATAGTTCCTTTTGCTGAGCAGATCAGTGCTTTTCAAAAATTTTAGGTTGTCGAATATTACAAAGAATCACTTCACTCCGACCTTCGTGAGTCGAGATGGTTGGATTTTGCGAATTCTGACAATCTTACTTCTATTGTATAACCGTTCTCGGTGTTGTCCTCTCACACTAAACTTCTGTAGGCTTTGCGCGAAGAATTCTGGGCACGCCGACACTACAACATGCCCGAAGACGAAGACGACCGAATGTACTGGGAAGACAGACGCCGATACGAAGAAGAATACATGGAGATGTGCCGACGCGGAAATCTGGGACCTTATCCGAGAGGTCGTCCGCCGTTCCCAGGTGGCGCTCCGCCCGTAAGACTCGCGTCGATTTTTTCGTAGCGATTGTGCTAGCGTTTCGTTGCAGTACTTCCAAGGAGGCATGCCGATGGCAAGACGCACCGAATCGAGCGACGACAGGCACGTGATGGCCAGGCACTCGGAAATATATCCGAAAGAAGAGGAATTGCAGTCGATTCAACGCATCGTTTCGCATACCGAACGCGCCTTGAAGACGGTCTCGGATCAGCTGGCCGAAAGCACCAAACCGAAGGAGGGACAAGCGCAGCAGCCGCCGACGCCGCAGCAGCCGGTCGCGGCGCCTGCCGCCAACGCTGCTAACGCGACGCCCGCTGCTGCTAAACCCGTGGAGGCCCCGGCCGTTGTACCTAAGCCCGAGAGCGAGAACAAGTCGGCGGAACAGCAGCAGCAGCAACCGAAAGAAGACGGACGCGATAATCAATTGTAAGTTTGAAAAGTCTGTTTATCGAAGAGATGGAGTGATTGTGATAAATAGGGTTGTATTTAATCGAGCGACGGGGCGTAATGATTTTAACACACAAGAATACTACTTAATTTATTATTTTTTTATTTTCAATTGTTCAAAATTTCAATTCTAATTTTTTAAGTTTTTGATTTTTCAGTTTTAATTCTTTTACGAATTTTTCGTGTTTAAAGGTGCCCGATTTTTCATTTATCCGAATTTCATTGCTTCGATTTTCTAATTTTTCGAATTTAATATTTCAAAGTTTTTCAATTTCATAATTTTGGAGTTTTTCTCGATTTTTCATTTTTGTAATTTTTTTATTTTGCTGTCGTCCGATTTTTCAATTACCAGATTTCCTAATTTCTTGATTTTTGATTTTTCTGTTTTGGAATTCTTTGATTTTTCATTTTTTGCAGTTGTCGATTTTTCAATTTCATGATTTCTCATTTTTTCGATTTTAAATTTTGTAGTTTTGCCATTTTAGAACTACCTGATGTTTTAATTTTTCGTCTTGAAATTTTTTTTATTTAGCAAAATTATCTAATTTTTCAATTTTGTAATTTTTACTTCCCGAGCGTAAGCAAAGGAAGTATTGTAATCGAGTCCGTCGGCCGACTCTCTACTTTTACGTTTTCTCGATCTTTCATGACCCCTAGAAGACGAAGAAATAGGTCTCCCATTTCCGTCTGTCTGTCCGTCCGTCTGTCCGTCCGTCTGTCCGTCCGTCTGTCCGTCTGTTGTCCCGGATTTTTATTAGACAGATAATCTCCGAAAGTACTCGACCGATTGTTGTGAAATTTTGTACTTATATTAAGAATATCATGTAGATGGTAAAACGCTAACCAAAATTTGTCTAATCATCCCCACCACTAATGCGATGACGTCACTTCAAAATTGTACATAGTAAATGGGTTTTCAATTGTATAAAATAACATAGTCCTACACATGTAGTTTACAACTCTGAATCGACTTTTCACCCGAAACGTCCAGATTTTTGGAAAAAAAATCAAAATTATAAAACAACATTTTGAAATTTAATTTTTAATCTGCTAACCAGAATGCTTTGAAATGTTGCAGATGTTTTAAGGCTATAAAGAGCATCATAAATCTTTAGTCAAAAAATATTTGCTTATCCCCTCCAAAAACTTGATGACGTCAGCTCAAAAGTTTGTGGAATAAATCATATCTAAAATGTACAAAATATGATGAGCCTGTACTTGTGATCTATCACTCCATTCATATTTTTTGGATTTGCATATACAGGATGACTCAAAAAAATTAATGAATGCGTAAATATATTTTATTGATTTAATCAGGAACTACAAAACCGAATGCTCTGAAATCTTGCAGATGTTTTAAGGTCATAAAGAGCATAATAAATGTTTAGTCAAAATATATTTGCTTATCCCCTCCAAAAACTTGATGACGTCAGCTCGAAAGTTTGCCGAATAAATCATATCTAAAATGTACAAAATATGATGAGCCTGTACTTGTCATTTATCACTCCATTCATATTTTTTGGATTTGCATATACAGAGTGACTCAAAAAAATTAATGAATGCGTAAATATATTTTATTGATTTAATCAGGAACTACAAAACGGAATGCTCTGACATCTTGCAGATGTTTTAAGGTTATAAAGGGCATAATAAATGTTTAGTCAAAATATATTTGCTTATCCCCTCCAAAAACTTGATGACGTCAGCTCGAAAATTTGCCGAATAAATCATATCTAAAATGTACAAAATATGATCAGTCTGTACTTGTGATCTATCACTCCATTCATATTTTTTGGATTTGCATATACAGGGTGATTCAAGAAAATAAATGAAAGCGTAAATTTATTTTACTGATTTACTCAGGAACTACAAAACCGAATGCTTCGAAATCTTGAAGACATTTAAAAATTATCATAAGCATGGTAAATTTTTGATCAAAACGTATTTGGTCGTCCCCCATAAAAAATTTATGATGTCACCACAAAATTTAGCTGAAAAAATCCTATCTAAAATGTACAAAATATGGTGAGTCTCTTCTTGTGATTTATCATTCCATTCAAATTTTTTCGATTTGCATATACAGGGTGACTCAAAAAAATTAATGAATGCGTAAATTTATTTTATTGATTTAATCAGGAACTACAAAACCGAATGCTTTGAAATCTTGCAGATGTTTTAAGGTTATAAAGAGCATAATAAATTTTTAGTCAAAATATATTTGGTTATCTTCTACAAAAAACTGATGACGTCAGCTCAAAAGTTTGCCGAATAAATCGTATCTAAAATGTACAAAATATGATGAGTCTGTACTTGTGATTTATCATTCCATTCATATTTTTGGATTTGCATATGCAGGCTGACTCAAAAAAATTAATGAAGGCGTGAATTTATTTTATCGATTTAATCAGGAATTACAAAACCGAATGCTTTGAAATCTTGGGAATATTTTAAAGTTATTATAAGCATGGTAAACTTTTGTTCAAAATGTATTTGTTCATCCCTCCTAAAAAAATTGATGACGTCACCCTTAAATTTTGCTGAATAAATCCTATCTAAAATGCAAAAAATATGATGAGTTTGTACTTGTGATTTATCATTCCATTCATATTTTTTAGATTTTCTTAAGAGGTGGTTCAAAAAAATTAATGAAGTCAATTTATTTTATTGATTAAATTAAAGGCAACACTTATTATTAGTATTACACCCCAACCAACCCAATTTGGTAGACACAAAATTTGTTAAAGGAAAAACTCGGTTGAAACATAAGGGTAGCACGCTTATTGACATCGACTTTAACATTACAGACCTGCATTTGTTTTATGCGTTCACTTGATTCCGCGAATGTGAAATAGACATGTTTATAATCAACCAATTGTGAATTTCACCGTCAAGAATTAAAATAAAACCCAATGTTTTATATAATAAGCGGAAGTCGAAGCAATAAAACCGACGGTCGTTTTGTTTACAGTTTCTCTGTTTGGCTCTCACGTATGCTGTTACGCCTGTCATCTTAAATTAAGAATGTTTATACATACACGATTTTCAGTTGCCTTTGATACGTAGGTATACGTGAGTAAATTGTTTCGTTATTTTATTGATTATTACAAATCAATATTCAAACGACCCAATTCATTTCCCGAAAATTTGAGAATATAATAATTTTATTCTTAGTATTACACTACATCTATCCCAACTGATATACGTGTCCTTGCAAAAATGTTGATGACGTCATCGCAATTTTTTTTTAAATTCCCACTACAAAAATGTAATGAGAAAAAAAACACAATAGGCATGCAGTCGTCAAGTTTCCGACAGCGAGGGAAGTACTGTCTAAACTCTTTAGACCAATTTTTTTATTTTTCGATTTCTCAGTTATCGGGTTTTTAATTAATCAATTTTCAATTTTTGGTTTTTCAATTATCAGATTTTCCAATGTTTGGATTGTTCAATTTTATCATTTTTATTTGGCTGTTTTCTGACTTTTCAATTTTAAAATTATACGAATTTTCGGTTTTGTAATTTTTTAATTTATCAGTTTTGTATTTCTACGTAATTTTTCATTTCTGTTTTCAAATTTCCCAATTTCTTGCTTTTTCATTTTTCAATTATTGCTCCATTTTTCAGTTCAATAATTTTGCAATTTTCAATTGACACAGTTTAATAAATTTTTAATTTAATTTTGCAAGGTTTTGATTTTTCAGTGTAATTATTTTACACGTTTTAGTTTTTAAAGCTTTTCGATTTTACACTTTTTACAATTTTTCTATTTCTCATTCTCCAGTTTTTCAATTTTTCATTTTTCAAGTGTTTGAGTTTCATTTTTCAATTATTATTGTTCGATTTTCCAATTTAATAATTTTTTTTCGTTTGTATAGTTTAATAAATTTTTAATTGTTATGATTTCAATTGTAATTTTTCAAGTTTTTGATTTTTCAGTGTAATTATTTTACGCTTTTTTGATTTTTCAATTTCATATTTTTGCAACTTTTGGATGTCTCATTTAATTAATCAAAGTGTCAATTTTTTATTTTAGCGATTATCCGAGTTTCATTATTTCGATTTTCCAATTTTTGGATTTCTAAATTTTTTAAATTTCGATTTCTATTTTTCAATTATCAAATATCCCAATTTCTGTTTTCAATTTTTCGTTTCTACAATTTAAAATTTTCAAGTTTACAATTATCCAATTATTCAATCTTGAATTTTTCAAGTTTTTGATTTTTCAGTGTAATTATGGTATTTTACTATTTTTCGTTTTTAAAGATATCCGATTTTGCAATTTTTCGATTTTACACTTTTTTGATTTCTCAATTTTATGTTTTTGCAATTTTTTTATGTCTCATTTGGGTTTTAATTAACCAATTTCTTAATTGTTGTGGTTTTATCAAATACCCTAATTTCATTGTTTCGATTTTCGATTTTTTTTATTTTTAACTTATTTTCCCGTTTGATTTTTCGAGTCGTTGATTCTTGAATTTCATAATTTTTCAATTTTAAATTTTGTAATTTTTCTATTTTACAATTATCTGATTTTTTATTTTGTATTATTTTGATTTTTCAGTTTTATATTTTTACATTTTTTGGATTTCTGAGTTATCGAGTTTTTAACGAATCAATTTTCAATTGTTGATTTTTCAATTATGAAATTTTCCAATTTCAAAATTATAGTAATTTTCAGTTTTGTAATTTTTTGACTTTGTATTTGAGCAGTTTTTCAATTTTTGATTGTTCAGTTATCAAATTTCCCAATTTCTTGCTTTTTCAATTTTTCATTTTTCAATTGTTCGATTTTTCAATTCAATAATTTTGCAATTTTTCATTTGTACAGTTTAATAAACTTCCAAGCCTACAGGCATCCAATTTTTCGATTTTTGTGATTTTACAATATTTCAATTATTAAAATTATCAATTGTTATGATTTCAGTTTTAATTTTTCAAGTTTTTGATTTTACAGTGTAGTTATTTTACAATTTTTCGTTTTTAAAGCTATCCGATTTTTCGATTTTACACTTTTTTGATTTTTCAATTTTATAGTTTTGCAATTTCTGGATGTCTCATTTGGATTTTAATTAACCAATTTCTCGATTTATGATTTTATCAATTATCCGAATTTCATTGTTTCGATTTTCCAATTTTTTTATTTCCATTTTATTTTTCAAGTCTTTGATTCTTCAATTTCATGATTTCTCAATTTTTCGATTTTAAAATTTTTCGATTTTCAATTTTATATTTATACAGTTTTGCAAATACCCAATTTTTCAATTTTATATGTTTACATTTTTTCGATTTTTTTCCGATTCAATTTTATAATTTTTATTTTTCTGTTGTCTGATTTTTCAATTTTAAGATTAAACGAATTTGCAGTTTTGTATTTTTTTTAATTTTCTAGTTTTATATTTTTTCAATTTTTGATTTTTCATTTGTTAAATTTCCCGATTTCTTACTTTTTCAGTTTTTCTGTTTTGGAATCCATCCATTTTTCATTTTTGGATTGTTTGATTTTAATTTTTCAATTATTGTTCGATTTTTAAATTTAATATCTTTTTTTTTTTTTTCATTTATTTTGAATAAATTTTCAAGTTTACAGTTATCCAATTTTTCATTTTTTGGAATTTTACAATGTTTCAATTTTAAAAAGTTAACTATTTTGGTTTTTCGTTTTTAAAGCTATCTGATTTTTCCATTTTACAGCATTTTAATTTTTCAGTTTTATATTTTTGAAATTTTTGGATGTCTCATTTGGGTTTTAATTAACCAATTTCTTAGTTGTGATTTTATCAATTGTCGTAATTTCATTGTTTCGATTTTCCATTTTTTTTATTTTTAACTCTTTTTTCCTGTTTGATTTTTCGAGTCTTGGACTCTTGAATTTCATAATTTTTCAATTTTAAATTTTGTAATTTTTCTATTTTACAATTATCTGATTTTTGATTTTTCAGTTTTATATTTTTACATTTTTACATTTTTCGATTTCTCAGTTATCGGGTTTTTAACGAATCAATTTTCAATTTTTGATTTTTCAATTATGAGATTTTATAATTTTTATTTTACTCTTGTCTGATTTTCTAATTTCAAAATTATACGAACTTTTAGTTTTGTGATTTTTTATTTTTCAATTGTTTGATTTTCATTTTGCAATTATTGTTGGATTTTCAATTTAATATATTTGTTTTATTTGTCTAGTTTAATAAATTTTTAAGTTTTTGATTTTTCAGTTTAATTTTTTTACGTTTTCGGATGTCTTATTTGGGATTTAATTAACCAATTCCTCAATTTTTGATTTAATCAATTATCCGAATTTCATTGTTTCAATTTCATAAATTCGCGATTTTTCGATTTTAAATTTTGTAATTTTTTTATTTTACGGTTACGCGATTTTTTAATTTTTCGCCTTTAAAATTTTTGGATTTTTAATTTTATATTTTTGCATTTTTTTTTTTTTTATAATTTTTATTTTTCTGTTGTCTGATTTTTCAATTTTAAGATTATACGAATTTGCAGTTTTGTTTTTTTTTTTTTTATTATTTTCTAGTTTTATATTTTTACAATTTTTTAATTTCTCACTTGTCCAGTTTTTAATTAATCAGTTTTTCGGTTCTGGAATCCATCCATTTTTCATTTTTGGATTGTTTGATTTTAATTTTTCAATTATTATAAATTTTTTTTTTCATTTATATTGAATAAATTTTCAAGTTTACAGTTATCCAATTTTTCAATTTTTGGAATTTTACAATGTTTCAATTTTAAAAAGTTAATTATTTTAGTTTTTCGTTTTTAAAGCTATCTGATTTTTCAATGTTTCCATTTTACAGCGTTTTAATTTTTCAGTTTTATATTTTTGCAATTTTTGGATGTCTCATTTGGCTTCTAATTTACCAATTTCTCAATTTTTGGTTGTATCAATTATCCGAATTTCATTGTTTCGAGTTTCCAATTTTTTTATTTTTAATTTTTTTTTAATCCTATTTTAGTTTTCAAGTTTTTGACTCTTGGATTTCATAATTTCTCAATTTTTCGATTTTAAATTTTGTAATTTTTCTGTTCTACAATTACCTGATTTTGTTTTTTAATTTTACGTCTTTGAAATTTTTCGATTTTTGATTTAGTGTTTTTTTGTTTTTCGATTTCTCAGTTATTGGGTTTTTAATGAATCAATTTTATGTTTATTTTACTGTTGTCACATTTTTCAATTTTAAAATTATACGAATTTTCAGTTTTGTAATTTTTTGATTTTTCATTTATTTTTCATTTTTCAAGTGTTTGATTTTCATTTTTCAATTATTATTATTCGATTTTCCAATTTAATATATTTTTTTCATTTGTATAGTTTAATAAATTTTCAAGTTTATTATTTTGCAATTTTTGTAATTTTACAATGTTATTTGTTATGATTTCAATTGTAATTTTTCAAGTTTTTGATTTTTCAGGGTAATTATTTTACACTTTTTTGATTTTTCGATTTCATATTTTTGCAATTTTTGGATTTAATTAATCAAAGTGTCAATTTTTGATTTTAGCGATTATCCGAGTTTCAATGTTTCGATTTTCCAATTTTTTGATTTCTAAATTTTTTAAATTTCGATTTCTATTTTTCAATCATCAAATTTCCCAATTTCTGTTTTTTTTTTTTTTTCAATTCGTCGTTTCTACAATTTAATCAATTTTCAAGTTTACAATTATCCAATTGTTCAATCTTGTAATTTTTCAAGTTTTTAATTTTTGAGTGTAATTATGGTATTTTACTATTTTTCGTTTTTAAAGATATCCGATTTTGCAATTTTTCGATTTTACACTTCTTTGATTTTTCAATTTTTGATTTTTGCGAATTTCATTGTTTGGATTTTCCAATATTTTGATTTTTAATTTTTTTAATTTCTATTTTATTTTGATTCTTCAATGTGATAATTTCTCAATTTTTTGAGTTTTAAATTTTATAATTTTTCCATTTTACAATTATCTAATTTTTTTAGGTCTTCGTCTTTAAAATGTTTCGATTTTCAATTTTGTATTTATGCAGTTTTTCAGTTTTGCAGTCAATAACTTTTAGATTTTGTAATTATCCAATTTTCAATTTTGTAATTTTTTAATTTTTGTGTTTTATATTTTTACATTTTTTTTTGTAATTTTTCAAGGTTTTGATTTTTCAGTGTAATTATTTTACACTTTTTTGATTTCTCAATTTCATATTTTTCCAACTTTTGGATGTCTCATTTAATTAATCAAAGTGTCAATTTTTGATTTTAGCGATTATCCGAGTTTCATTGTTTCGATTTTCCAATTTTTTGATTTCTAAATTTTTTAAATTTCGATTTCTATTTTTCAATTATCAAATTTCCCAATTTTTGTTTTTTTTTTTTTTTCAATTTGTCGTTTCTACAATTTAATAAATTTTTAAATTTACAATTATCCAATTGTTCAATCTTGTAATTTTTCAAGTTTTTGATTTTTCAGTGTAATTATGGTATTTTACTATTTTTCGTTTTTAAAAATATCCGATTTTGCAATTTTTCGATTTTACACTTCTTTGATTTTTCAATTTTTGATTTTTGCGAATTTCATTGTTTGGATTTTCCAATATTTTGATTTTTAATTTTTTTAATTTCTATTTTATTTTGATTCTTCAATGTGATAATTTCTCAATTTTTTGAGTTTCAAATTTTATAATTTTTCCATTTTACAATTATCTAATTTTTTTAGGTCTTCGTCTTTAAAATGTTTCGATTTTCAATTTTGTATTTATGCAGTTTTTCAGTTTTGCAGTCAATAACTTTTCGATTTTGTAATTATCCAATTTTCAATTTTGTAATTTTTAAATTTTTGTGTTTTATATTTTTGCATTTTTTTTTGTTTGTAATTTTTCAAGGTTTTGATTTTTCAGTGTAATTATTTTACACTTTTTTGATTTCTCAATTTCATATTTTTCCAACTTTTGGATGTCTCATTTAATTAATCAAAGTGTCAATTTTTGATTTTAGCGATTATCCGAGTTTCATTGTTTCGATTTTCCAATTTTTTGATTTCTAAATTTTTTAAATTTCGATTTCTATTTTTCAATTATCAAATTTCCCAATTTCTTTTTTTTTTTTTTTCAATTTGTCGTTTCTACAATTTAATCAATTTTCAAGTTTACAATTATCCAATTGTTCAATCTTGTAATTTTTCAAGTTTTTAATTTTTCAGTGTAATTATGATATTTTACTATTTTTCGTTTTTAAAGATATCCGATTTTGCAATTTTTCGATTTTACACTTCTTTGATTTTTCAATTTTTGCTTTTTGCGAATTTCATTGTTTGGATTTTCCAATATTTTGATTTTTATTATTTTTTTTAATTTCTAATTTATTTTGATTCTTCAATGTGATAATTTCTCAATTTTTCGAGTTTTAAATTTTATAATTTTTCCATTTTACAATTATCTCATACCATTTTTACAGTTTAATAAATTTCAAGTTTAGTTGTCCAATTGTTCAATTTTGAAAATTTGCTGTTTTTCAGTTGTTTTTTTTTTTTTTTAATTGCTAAAATTTCAATTTTAATTTTTAAGGTTTATGATTTTGCAGTATAATTATTTTACAATTTTTGGACGTCTCAGTTATTATTTGGGTTTTAATTAATCAATTTTCAATTTTATAATTCTTCCTTTTTATTATTTCTGTTTTCAATTTTTGATTCTTCACTTTCATAATTTCACGATGCTTCGATTTTTCGTTTTTCGATTCTTCGACATTTCAATCATAGAATTCCTCGATCTCAAAATTTTTAGATTATCCAAGTTTCCAAATTTCTCGATTTGCAACTGTGTCTTTTTACACTGTTACTGATACGAACAAAATCAAAATCGAAAAAAAATCTGGGAAACGCTCGGTATAGAGCAAACATTTTCTTAAACCTACAAGAAAATAATTACACTTGAAACAAACCGTTTTGCCGTTTTCAGATTCTCCTTCCAACAAGACCGCGACGCGAACAGAATACTGAAGGGTGTGATGCGTGTGGGCCACCTCGCCAAGGGTCTTCTCCTACGCGGCGACACCAACGTCGAATTGGTCGTGCTGTGTGCCGACAAACCGACATTGGCTTTGTTGAGAAAAGTCGTGGATTTGTTGCCCCCGGCGTTGAAGCAAGTGGCCCCAGAAAACACCTACACTGTCACGATAAATGCCGCAGAAGCCGGCTTGACCGTCGTCGGCGACGGATTGACGGTTCTTGTACAACTCACAAGTCCCATTATGAGGGAGCAAGGTAACGAGAGAAATGAGCGAACGGTGGAGTGCGAATGTGGTGTGTACAGTACTGTTGCGGGGTTTAAGCTGACTTTTTGTGTGTAATTTGTGTTTTTATTATATTTGTTTTCGTCAGTTGAAGGAAGTATACAGATGGAAATGTGTATGGGGTTTTGCAGTATAAATTTCATTTGGAAGAGGATGAGGATATTTCTTGGGGGGTAGCTAGGGGGAGAGGAGCGCGAAGAAGTGTTAAAATTTGGAAATGTTGGTTTTTGATGGGTAGCTCAGGTTAGACGGAAGTGACAGCGATTCAAAATTTCATGCGTGATTTGATTTTTTTTTTTTTTTTGTGGTAGTACTGATAGTATATTGTGGTTTAGAGTTGGACGTGTCGTTCGTAGTTCTAGTATTCCCTAAGAAATATCAAGGCAACGACCTCCCACGAAGACTGAATTTTTATTCGGTGTCGACGTCTCTGCAAATTTTTAATTGTTCCCTCTGCAAAGAATTTTTAGGTTAATCAGTAAACAAACGTAAGATTGTAAGTTACTAAAAGAATTTCGTCGAAGCGAATTTGAAGACATCACCAGGTGGGTATACTATCCCTGAAAAAAATAAGAAAACGAGAGAAAAAAGATAGTCGTCCAGCTTAAACCTTGATCGTTTCTAATAAATATTGGACTTTTCTTCTAGTTGCGCAGCTGTCGAGTTTGTATCAGTCTTAAAGTTAAGTGGCTTAATGAGCAACGTACGAGACAATTTAACTGGACTGATACTGCGAAAACAGAAGATTTCGAGGTGAACATGATTATGAGTAGTAAAAGTAAAGATGACATTTATCTTGTATTATTTTCGGTCCAATACTTATAAATGTACTGTGCTGATATGGTTGTTTAGAGCTGATTTTAGGTGGTGTGGGATAAGGATTTTTGACCAACCGGCTCATTGCAGCTGGGCCGCCGCCCCCAGCGAGGGCGGGGGTGGGCCAGCTGTACTTGTGCGCGATGGTCAAACACCCTTTCTTGATGTCTAGAAGCTGCGAGCGGCGGGTTGGACCGGGACGTTCTCGCACGCGGCAAGTGTCTCCAGGCGCTGGCAGCCCTCAGACATACCAAATGGTTCCAGGTTTGTGTCTCTTCTCACACCGCGCCCACCGCGTTCTTACCATAGGATTAAGCCGGGAGAAAGAAATCGACGAAAAGTTTACAGTTTGCTTAAATTAAGTCAAGATCTGACGATGTGAGTTTTTGTTTGTCGGTAGGGAATCGGAGCGTCACTTTTTTTTTTTTATTCTTAATACTCTGTTTTTTTTCCCTTCAGTTCTCACAGTCGGCGATTTTTTTTGTTGACGTGTCGATCGTAGTTTTGTTTGCTTCTATTCCCTTTGTAACACTTGTTGCATAATTCTAAATGTTAAAGTCGAGGATTTTTTTTTGGAAATTGAGAAAGTTCACATCTAAATCAGATTGCTATAGAGGGTTCTACGTTTAGTCAGGTTAGGTGTGGCAACGCAGCCTGCTTGATTTTTCTTTTTTAGTTTTTACCCGAATTTATAAAGTCGTCAATTTTATCCGTTAACGTTTAGTGTTGTAAGCAACCGTCTGTAGAACCCTCAAGTGTTGCTTATTTTTGTGACTTAAGTCGAGGCATGGGTTAACTTTTGGTTTGTGTGTAGGCTAGGGCTTTGGGTCTGCATTCCTGCGTGGTCATTATTCGCATTTTGAGGGATTTGTGTCAGAGAGTTCCTACGTGGTCGCCTTTGAGCTCATGGGTAAGTCGTTTTTCGTACTTTAAGTAAGGAATGTTCGTGAAAAAAGTGCTCATTTTAATTTTAAAATAACCAACCAAATCCGACAGATAACCAGGGAAAAAACGGCCTCTCAGCAATAATAACAAGCTTTAACTTCAAGTGTTTGAAAAGAGAGAAAAAAACGGCCAAGTTTGGCATCGAACGTACGACCGCTGGTGTTAATTTTTAAAAATTGGGAAATTTGTCAATTGAAAAATCAAAAATTGAAAAACTGAGTAATTAAAAGCTGGACAATTGGGAAAATTGTAAAAATATAAAAATTAAAAAAATCAGACGACGGTAAAATAAAATTGTAAAATAGAAAAATTACAAAATGTAAAATCGAAATATGAAATTGAAAAATAACAGAAATTAAAAAAAAATCAAAAATTGAGAAATCGATTAATTGAAACCCAAGTGAGACATCCAAAAATTGTAAAATAATTATGTACACTAAAAAATTAAAATTGAAATCTTATCAATTAAAAATTTTTGAAGTTGAAATATTGTGTAATTACTGAAATTGAAAAATTGGATAATTGTAAAGTTCAAAATTTATTGAACTATACACATGAAAAATTGCAAAATTATTAAATCGAAAAATCGAACAACACTTGAAAAATGAAAATTCCTTTCGATTCCAAAACCCAAAAATTGAAAAACTACCGAAAAATTAAAAAATTGTGAAATTCTACAGAACCGAAAATTTGCAAAATTGGGAAATGAAATTTGGAAATATTAAAACTCAAAAAATGAAATCAATTTTTAATTGTCCAAAATTTCAGTTTAAATTCTACAAGTTTTTGATTTTTCAGCATTATGTTACGTTTTTCAATTTCTCAATTGTCCAAATTTATCATTTCCTAATTAATTTTTCGGTTTTAGAGTCCTTCGATTTTTGAATTCATTTTCAATTTATACACTTTAATAATTTTCAAGTTTACAATTGCCTAATTTTAAAATTGAAAAACCGAAAATTTGCAAAATTGGAAAATGAAATTTGGAAATATTAAAACTCAAAAAATTAAATCAAATTTTCATTGTCCAAAATTTCAATTTAAATTCTACAAGTTTTTGATTTTTCAGCATTATATGTTTCGTTTTTCAATTTCTCAATTGTCCAAATTTATCATTTTTTGCCTTTTGAATTATCGGATTTCCTAATTTTTTTATGTTTAAATTTTTCGGTTTTAGAGTCCTTCGATTTTTGAATTCATTTTCAATTTGTACACTTTAATAAATTTTCAAGTTTACAATTACCTAATTTTAAAATTGAAAAACCGAAAATTTGCAAAATTGGAAAATGAAATTTGGAAATATTAAAACTCCAAAAATTAAATCAATTTTTAATTGTCTAAAATTTCAATTTAAATTCTTCAAGTTTTTGATTTTTCAGCATTATATGTTTCGTTTTTCAATTTCTCAATTGTCCAAATTTATCATTTTTTGCCTTTTGAATTATCGGATTTCCTAATTTTTTGATGTTTTAATTTTTCGGTTTTAGAGTCCTTCGATTTTTGAATTCATTTTCAATTTATACACTTTAATAAATTTTCAAGTTTACAATTACCTAATTTTAAAATTGAAAAACCGAAAATTTGCAAAATTGGAAAATGAAATTTGGAAATATTAAAACTCAAAAAATTAAATCAATTTTTAATTGTCCAAAATTTCAATTTAAATTCTACAAGTTTTTGATTTTTCAGCATTATATGTTTCGTTTTTCAATTTCTCAATTGTCCAAATTTATCATTTTTTGCCTTTTGAATTATCGGATTTCCTAATTTTTTGATGTTTAAATTTTTCGGTTTTAGAGTCCTTCGATTTTTGAATTCATTTTCAATTTATACACTTTAATAAATTTTCAAGTTTACAATTACCTAATTTTAAAATTGAAAAACCGAAAATTTGCAAAATTGGAAAATGAAATTTGGAAATATTAAAACTCAAAAAATTAAATCAATTTTTAATTGTCTAAAATTTCAATTTAAATTCTTCAAGTTTTTGATTTTTCAGCATTATATGTTTCGTTTTTCAATTTCTCAATTGTCCAAATTTATCATTTTTTGCCTTTTGAATTATCGGATTTCCTAATTTTTTGATGTTTAAATTTTTCGGTTTTAGAGTCAATCGATTTTTGAATTCATTTTCAATTTATACACTTTAATAAATTTTCAAGTTTACAATTATCTCATTTTAAAATTGAAAAACCGAAACTTTGCAAAATTGGAAAATGAAATTTGGAAATATTAAAACTCAAAAAATTAAATCAATTTTTAATTGTCCAAAATTTCAATTTGAGTTCTACAAGTTTTTGATTTTTCAGCGTTATATGTTTCGTTTTTCAATTTCTCAATTGTCCAAATTTATCATTTTTTGCCTTTTGAATTATCGGATTTCCTAATTTTTTGATGTTTAAATTTTTCGGTATTAGAGTCCTTCGATTTTTGAATTCATTTTCAATTTATACACTTTCATAAATTTTCAAGTTTACAATTACCTAATTTTAAAACTGAAAAACCGAAAATTTGCAAAATTGGAAAATGAAATTTTTAAATATTAAAACTCAAAAAATTAAATCAATTTTTAATTGTCCAAAATTTCAATTTAAATTCTACAAGTTTTTGATTTTTCAGCATTATATGTTTCGTTTTTCAATTTCTCAATTGTCCAAATTTATCATTTTTTGATGTTTAAATTTTTCGGTTTTAGAGTCCTTCGATTTTTGAATTCATTTTCAATTTATACACTTTAATAAATTTTCAAGTTTACAATTACCTAATTTTAAAATTGAAAAACCGAAAATTTGCAAAATTGGAAAATGAAATTTGGAAATATTATAACTCAAAAAATTAAATCAATTTTTAATTGTCCAAAATTTCAATTTAAATTCTACAAGTTTCTGATTTTTCAGCATTATATGTTTCGTTTTTCAATTTCTCAATTGTCCAAATTTATCATTTTTTGCCTTTTGAATTATCGGATTTCCAAATTTTTTTAATTTTAAATTTTTCGGTTTTTAGAGTCCTTCGATTTTTGAATTAATTTTCAATTTATACACTTTAATAAAATTTCAAGTTTACAATTACCTAATTTTAAAATTGAAAAACCGAAAATTTGCAAAATTGGAAAATGAAATTTGGAAATATTAAAACTCAAAAAATTAAATCAATTTTTAATTGTCCAAAATTTCAATTTAAATTCTACAAGTTTTTGATTTTTCAGCATTATGTGTTTCGTTTTTCAATTTCTGAATTGCCCAAATTTATCATTTTTTGCCTTTTGAATTATTAGATTTCCTAATTTTTTGATGTTTAAATTTTTCGGTTTTTAGAGTCCTTCGATTTTTGAATTCATTTTCAATTTATACACTTTTATAAATTTTCAAGTTTACATTTACCTAATTTTAAAATTGAAAAACCGAAAATTTGCAAAATTGGAAAATGAAATTTGGAAATATTAAAACTCAAAAAATGAAATCAATTTTTAATTGTCCAAAATTTCAATTTAAATTCTACAAGTTTTTGATTTTTCAGCATTATATGTTTCGTTTTTCAATTTCTCAATTGTTTAAATTTATCATTTTTTGCCTTTTGAATTACCGGATTTCCTAATTTTTTGATGTTTAAATTTTTCGGTTTTAGAGTCCTTCGATTTTTGAATTCATTTTCAATTTATACACTTTCATAAATTTTCAAGTTTACAATTACCTAATTTTAAAATTGAAAAACCGAAAGTCTGCAAAATTAGAAAATGAAATTTGGAAATATTAAAACTCAAAAAATTAAATCAATTTTTAATTGTCCAAAATTTCAATTTAAATTCTACAAGTTTTTGATTTTTCAGCATTATGTGTTTCGTTTTTCAATTTCTCAATTGTCCAAATTTATCATTTTTTGCCTTTTGAATTATCGGATTTCCTAATTTTTTGATGTTTAAATTTTTCAGTTTTAGAGTCCTTCGATTTTTGAATTCATTTTCAATTTATACACTTTAATAAATTTTCAAGTTTACAATTACCTAATTTTAAAATTTTTAGTTGTTAAGATTCAATTTTAATTTTTCAAGTTTTTGATTTTTCAGTAATAATTTTACAATTTTTCGTTTTTAAAGGTATACGATTTTTGGATGTCCCAATTATTAATTTGGGTTTTAATTAATCAATTTCTCAGTTTTCAATTTTATAATTCTTCGTTTGTATTTTTATTTTTTTCAATTATTCAACTTTTCATTTTTATATTGTGCCAAATTCATTTTTACGATTTTCCACTTTTTTATTTTAAATTTTGCAATTTTTCGATTTTCAGTTTTTATTTATGCATTTTGGGGGGGGGGGGGGGGTATTTTTTTTAAGTTCATTTTTAAATGTGCTCTTTCTTTCGCGAACAGTCCTCAATTCAATTAAAAAATTCACAACAAGCTCAATGCTTGACAGCGTAGCTGCTCTAAGTGCGTCTGTTTTCAATTGAGCTTAAAGCAAACTTGCAGTTTTTCACAGAAGCACCGTTAATTCGGTGTTTCTGCAAGCCCAACTCGCAAGACACAACCACATATCTTCAATTTCGGCTCTTTTTTTAAACTTTGTTCGTCCGCTAGGCAATGGAGTTGTTGGCAGAGAAGGTCATTTCTTCAGTACCTGGCCAGGTCCAGCTATCGCCTGGTGACGCTCTTCGCCGCGTGATGGAGGCCGTCGCCAGCGGCTTACTTCTTCCCGGAGGACCCGGTTTGGGCGATCCTTGCGAAAAAGACAGTCCAGATGCAGCCAGCGGTTTGTCGGCGCAGCAACGTGAAGATCTCACATGTTCGGCTCAATACGCATTGAGATTAATTGCGTACAGACAGATTTATAAAGTAAGTTCGAGGATTAAGTGGGGAGGTGTTAATGTTGTAATGTGTAATTGTTTTAGGTTTTGGGTATGGAACCATTACCCACACAACAGAAAGTCTTCAGACGGGATAGATCGGCAAGGAAACGACGTCGGTCAGGGGGAGAACAGGCCGATTCCGAAAGTAAGTTTTGTCTGGAGTGGAGGAAAAGTGGGTTTTATTTTTCGGTTTTTATAGGTGACAGCGGAAAGATGGTGAAGACAGAAGGAACGGAGACTACGACGGAAACGCCGGTTAAATAGATGAATGCAGGTTAAGTTAAGCTAGAGTTATTAATTGCTATTAGTAATCTTAATTTTATTTTCTACCATTTACAAGTATTTTGATGTATAAAATAATAGAAGTCAAATTTTTTTGTTGTGGACTACTGTATATCATCGTAGTTGAAATTGTTTTCTAGCTGTATTGTGTGATTAAGAATATACTACATGATTGAATCTCAGGCTTTGGCTGACTTTTTTTAACCAACTACGTTTACAGGAAAAGGTTTAAAAATGACAATTGGGAACCCGAGAAGGTTTCACATTAAAAAAAAAACACATTTGGGGCCCCCGAAAAGGCTTTACATTTTTAAAAAGTACAATTGGGACACCCGAGAAGGTTTCACATTCTAAAAAAAAACATTTGGGGCCCCTGAGAAGGTTTTACATTTTTAAGACAGTTGGGTTTAGCATTATTAAAAAAAAAAATTGGGGCCTTCGAAGTTTTACATTTTTACAAAAGACAATTGGGACCCCGAGAAGATTTGACAGTCTTAGAAAAATACAGCTAGGACCCCCGAGAAGGTTTCACAAAATTAAAAAACCCATTTGGGGCCCCTGAGAAGGTTTTACATTTTTTAAAAATTCAGTTGGGACCCCAAGATGGTTTCGCATGATTAAAAGAAACATTTGGGGCCCATGAGAAGGTTTTATATTTTTAAAAAAGACAGTTGGGACCCCCGAGGAGGTTTCACATAAAAAAAAAAAAAACATTTGGAGCCCCTGAGAAGGTTTCACATTTTTAAAAAAAGACAGTTGGAAACCTCGAGAAGGTTTCATATTACAAAAAAGACTTAGGGCTCTTGACAAGGTTTTATATTTAAAAAAAAATACAATTGGGGTCCCGAGGTTTCATTTTCTTAAAAAAAGACAGTTGGGACCCCCGAGAAGGTTTCACATTATTAAAAAAAACATTTGGGGCCCCTTAAAAGGTTTTACATTTTTAAAAAAGACAGTTGGGACTCCCGGGAAGGGTTCCCATTCTTAAATAAAGACAGTTGGGACCCCGAGAAGGTTTCACATAAAAAAACACATTTGGGGCTTCCGAGAAGGTTTTACATTTTTAAAAGACAGTTGGGACCCCCGAGAAGGTTTCACATCATAAAAAAAAACATTTGGGCCCCTGAGAAGGTTTTACATTTTTAAAAAAAGACAGTTGGAAACCCCGAGAAGGTTTCACATTACAAAAAAGACTTTGGGGCTCTTGAGAAGGTTTTATTTAAAAAAAAAAAAATACAATTGGAACCCCGAGGTTTCATTTTCTTAAAAAAAACACAGTTGGGACCCCCGAGAAGGTTTCACATCATAAAAAAAAACAGTCGGGGCCCCTGAGAAGGTTTTAGATTTAAAAAAAAAAGACAGTTGGAAACCCCGAGAATGTTTCACATTAAGTACAAAAAAGACTTTGGGGCTCTTGAGAAGGTTTTATATTTAAAAAAAAAAATACAATTGGGACCCCGAGGTTTCATTTTCTTAAAAAAAGACAGTTGGGACCCCCGAGAAGGGTTCCCAGTCTTAAATAAAGACAGTTGGGACCCCGAGAAGGTTTCACATTAAAAAAAACACATTTGGGGCCTCCGAGAAGGTTTTACATTTTTAAAAGACAGTTGGGACCCCCGAGAATGTTTCACATCATAAAAAAAAAATTGGGACCCCAGAGGTTTCGCATTAAAAAAACATATTTGGGGCCCCTGAAAAGGTTTTACATTTTTAAAAAAGACAGTTGGGCCTCCCGAGAAGGTTTCACATAAAAAAAAAATTTGGGGCCTCCGAGAAGGTTTTACATTTTTAAAAAAAGACAGTTGGAAACCCCGGGAAAGTTTTACATTACAAAAAAGACTTTGGGGCTCTTGAGAAGGTTTTATATTAAAAAAAAAAAAATACAATTGGGACCCCGAGGTTTCATTTTCTTAAAAAAAGACAGTTGGGACCCCCGAGAAGGTTTCACATTATTAAAAAAACCATTTGGGACCCCTGAAAAAGTTCTACATTTTTAAAAAAAGACAGTTGGAAACCCCGAGAAGGTTTCACATTACAAAATAGACTTTGGGACCTCGAGAAGGTTTCATATAAAAAAAAAATTGGGGCCTCTGAGAAGGATTTACATTTTTTAAAAGAACAGTTGGGACCCCAGAGAAGGTTTCACATTAAAAAAAACACATTTGGGGCCCTCGAGAAGGTTTTACCTTTTTAGAAAAAGACAGTTGGAAACCCCGAGAAGATTTCACATTACAAAAAAGGCTTTGGGGCTCTTGAGAAGGTTTTATATTAAAAAAAATACAATTGGGACCCCGAGGTTTCATTTTCTTAAAAGAAGACAGTTGGGACCCCCGAGAAGGTTTCAAATTATTAAAAAAACCATTTGGGGCCCCCGAAAAGGTTTTATATTTTTAAAAAAGACAGTTGGGACTCCCGAGAAGGGTTCCCATTCTTAAATAAAGACAGTTGGGACCCCGAGAAGGTTTCACATAAAAAAAACACATTTGGGGCCTCCGAGAAGGTTTTACATTTTTAAAAGACAGTTGGGACCCCCGAGAAGGTTTCACATCATAAAAAAAAAACATTTGGGGTCCCTGATGAGAAGGTTTTACATTTTTAAAAAAGACAGAAACCCCTAGAAGGTTTCACATTACAAAAAAGACTTTGGGGCTCTTGAGAAGGTTTTATATGTATTAAAAAAAATACAATTGGGACCCCGAGGTTTGATTTTCTTAAAAAAAGACAGTCGGGACCCCCGAGAAGGTTTCACATCATAAAAAAAAATTTGGGACCCCAGAGAAAGTTTCGCATTAAAAAAAATTTGGGGCTTCCGAGAAGGTTTTACATTTTTTAAAAGGACAGTTGAGACCCCAGAGAAGGTTTCGCATTAAAAAGAGCACATTTGGGGCCCCCGAGAAGGTTTTACATTTTTAAAAAAAGACAGTTGGAAACCTCGAGAAGGTTTCACATTATCAAAAAAACCATTTGGGGCCCTTGAAAAGGTTTTACATTTTTAAAAAAAGACAGTTGGAAACCCCGAGAAGGTTTCACATTACAAAAAAGACTTTGGGGCTCTTGAGAAGGTTTTATATTTAAAAAAAAAATACAATTGGGACCCCGAGGTTTCATTTTCTTAAAAAAAGACAGTTGGGACCCCCGAGAAGGTTTCACATCATAAAAAAAAAACATTTGGGGCCCCTGAGAAGGTTTTACATTTTTAAAAAAAGACAGTTGGAAACCCCGAGAAGGTTTCACATCATAAAAAAAAAAACATTTGGGGTCCCTGATGAGAAGGTTTTACATTTTTAAAAAAAGACAGAAACCCCTAGAAGGTTTCACATTACAAAAAAAACTTTGGGGCTCTTGAGAAGGTTTTATATTAAAAAAAATACAATTGGGACCCCGAGGTTTGATTTTCTTAAAAAAAGAAAGTCGGGACCCCCGAGAAGGTTTCACATCATAAAAAAAAATTTGGGACCCCAGAGAAGGTTTCGCATTAAAAAAAATTTGGGGCTTCCGAGAAGGTTTTACATTTTTTAAAAGGACAGTTGAGACCCCAGAGAAGGTTTCGCATTAAAAAGAGCACATTTGGGGCCCCCGAGAAGGTTTTACATTTTTAAAAAAAGACAGTTGGAAACCTCGAGAAGGTTTCACATTATCAAAAAAACCATTTGGGGCCCTTGAAAAGGTTTTACATTTTTAAAAAAAGACAGTTGGAAATCCCGAGAAGGTTTCACATTACAAAAAAGACTTTGGGGCTATTGAGAAGGTTTTATATTTAAAAAAAAAATACAATTGGGACCCCGAGGTTTCATTTTCTTAAAAAAAGACAGTTGGGACCCCCGAGAAGGTTTCACATCATAAAAAAAAACATTTGGGGCCCCTGAGAAGGTTTTACATTTTTAAAAAAAGACAGTTGGAAACCCCGAGAAGGTTTCACATTACAAAAAAGACTTTGGGGCTCTTGAGAAGGTTTTATATTAAAAAAAAAAACAATTGGAACCCCGAGGTTTCATTTTCTTAAATAGACAGTTGGAACCCGCGAGAAGGTTTCACATTATTAAAAAAAAACATTTGGGGCCCCTGAAAAGGTTTTACATGTTTAAAAAAGACAGTTGAGACTCCCGAGAAGGTTTCACATAAAAAACACATTTGGGGCATCCGAGAAGGTTTTACATTTTTAAAAGACAGTTGGGACGCCGAGAAGGTTTCACATAAAAAAAAAATTTGGGGCCTCCGAGAAGGTTTTACATATGTTAAAAGGACAGTTGAGACCCCAGAGAAGGTTTCGCATTAAAAAGAACACATTTGGGGCCCCCGAGAAGGTTTCGCATTAAAAAAAAACACATTTGGGGTCCCTGAAAAGGTTTTACATTTTTAAAAAAGACAGTTGGGACTCCCGAGAAGGGTTCCCATTCTTAAATAGACAGTTGGGACCCCGAGAAGGTTTCACATAAAAAAAACACATTTGGGGCCTCCGAAAAGGTTTTACATTTTTAAAAAAGACAGTTGGGACCCCGAGAAGGTTTCACATAAAAAAAAAATTGGGGCCCCTGAGAATGTTTTACATTTTTTAAAAGAACAGTTGGGACCCCAGAGAAGGTTTCGCATTAAAAAAAACTTACATTTGGGGCCCTCAAGAAGGCTTTACATTTTTAAAAGACAGTTGGGACCCCCGAGAAGGTTTCACATCATAAAAAAAAACATTTGGGGCCCCTGAGAAGGTTTTACATTTTTAAAAAAAGACAGTTGGAAACCCCGAGAAGGTTTCACATTACAAAAAAGACTTTGGGGCTCTTGAGAAGGTTTTATATTAAAAAAAAATACAATTGGAACCCCGAGGTTTCATTTTCTTAAATAGACAGTTGGAACCCGCGAGAAGGTTTCACATTATTAAAAAAAAACATTTGGGGCCCCTGAAAAGGTTTTACATGTTTAAAAAAGACAGTTGAGACTCCCGAGAAGGTTTCACATAAAAAACACATTTGGGGCATCCGAGAAGGTTTTACATTTTTAAAAGACAGTTGGGACCCCGAGAAGGTTTCACATAAAAAAAAAAATTTGGGGCCTCCGAGAAGGTTTTACATATGTTAAAAGGACAGTTGAGACCCCAGAGAAGGTTTCGCATTAAAAAGAACACATTTGGGGCCCCCGAGAAGGTTTTGCATTAAAAAAAAAACACATTTGGGGTCCCTGAAAAGGTTTTACATTTTTAAAAAAGACAGTTGGGAGTCCCGAGAAGGGTTCCCATTCTTAAATAGACAGTTGGGACCCCGAGAAGGTTTCACATAAAAAAAACACATTTGGGGCCTCCGAAAAGGTTTTACATTTTTAAAAGACAGTTGGGACCCCGAGAAGGTTTCACATAAAAAAAAAATTGGGGCCCCTGAGAATGTTTTACATTTTTTAAAAGAACAGTTGGGACCCCAGAGAACGTTTCGCATTAAAAAAAACACATTTGGGGCCCTCAAGAAGGCTTTACATTTTTAAAAGACAGTTGGGACCCCCGAGAAGGTTTCACATAATAAAAAAAAACATTTGGGGCCCCTGAGAAGGTTTTACATTTTTAAAAAAAGACAGTTGGAAACCCCGAGAAGGTTTCACATTACAAAAAAGACTTTGGGGCTCTTGAGAAGGTTTTATATTAAAAAAAAAACAATTGGAACCCCGAGGTTTCATTTTCTTAAATAGACAGTTGGAACCCGCGAGAAGGTTTCACATTATTAAAAAAAAACATTTGGGGCCCCTGAAAAGGTTTTACATGTTTAAAAAAGACAGTTGAGACTCCTGAGAAGGTTTCACATAAAAAACACATTTGGGGCATCCGAGAAGGTTTTACATTTTTAAAAGACAGTTGGGACGCCGAGAAGGTTTCACATAAAAAAAAAATTTGGGGCCTCCGAGAAGGTTTTACATATGTTAAAAGGACAGTTGAGACCCCAGAGAAGGTTTCGCATTAAAAAGAACACATTTGGGGCCCCCGAGAAGGTTTCGCATTAAAAAAAAACACATTTGGGGTCCCTGAAAAGGTTTTACATTTTTAAAAAAGACAGTTGGGACTCCCGAGAAGGGTTCCCATTCTTAAATAGACAGTTGGGACCCCGAGAAGGTTTCACATAAAAAAAACACATTTGGGGCCTCCGAAAAGGTTTTACATTTTTAAAAAAGACAGTTGGGACCCCGAGAAGGTTTCACATAAAAAAAAAATTGGGGCCCCTGAGAATGTTTTACATTTTTTAAAAGAACAGTTGGGACCCCAGAGAAGGTTTCGCATTAAAAAAAACTTACATTTGGGGCCCTCAAGAAGGCTTTACATTTTTAAAAGACAGTTGGGACCCCCGAGAAGGTTTCACATAATAAAAAAAAACATTTGGGGCCCCTGAGAAGGTTTTACATTTTTAAAAAAAGACAGTTGGAAACCCCGAGAATGTTTCACATTACAAAAAAGACTTTGGGGCTCTTGAGAAGGTTTTATATTTAAAAAAAATACAATTGGAACCCCGAGGTTTCATTTTCTTAAATAGACAGTTGGAACCCGCGAGAAGGTTTCACATTATAAAAAAAAACATTTGGGGCCCCTGAAAAGGTTTTACATGTTTAAAAAAGACAGTTGAGACTCCCGAGAAGGTTTCACATAAAAAACACATTTGGGGCATCCGAGAAGGTTTTACATTTTTAAAAGACAGTTGGGACCCCGAGAAGGTTCCACATAAAAAAAAAATTTGGGGCCTCCGAGAAGGTTTTACATATGTTAAAAGGACAGTTGAGACTCCAGAGAAGGTTTCGCATTAAAAAGAACACATTTGGGGCCCCCGAGAAGGTTTCGCATTAAAAAAAAAACACATTTGGGGTCCCTGAAAAGGTTTTACATTTTTAAAAAAGACAGTTGGGACTCCCGAGAAGGGTTCCCATTCTTAAATAAAGACAGTTGGGACCCCGACAAGGTTTCACATAAAAAAAACACATTTGGGGCCTCCGAGAAGGTTTTAGATTTTTATAAAAGACAGTTGGGACCCCGAGAAGGTTTCACATAAAAAAAACACACATTTGGGGCCTCCGAGAAGGTTTTACATTTTTAAAAGGACAGTTGGAACCTCAGAGAAGGTTTCAGATTAAAAAAAAAACACATTTGGGGCCCCCGAGAAGGTTTTACATTTTTAAAAGTCAGTTGGGACCCGAAATGGGTTGTCAAATTTTTTTGCATATAAATCCGCTCTTTAATAATATTAATGAACGTTAGGCAACCAACAAAACAGCTATGGAGAGAATTTAGATAAAAGATAAGAACACAATGTGGTAGTTTGGCGTTCTTGTTTCTTGTGGCCAATCGTACCAGCACTTTCCCCTCCATTGTCACTGTTTTGATTATGTTTACAACAATTATTCTAACGACTGACTTAATTATTACGACTTAAGTGATAAGGCTCACCGTGTCGTAAGCAGGTCTACAACTAGTCGTTAACATGGCAACAAACAAGTGTCTTCATTTGTTAAGAGGACGTTTCAGAGACCAATTACGCTTTTGTAGGGTAAGTACTAACTTTATTAACATCTTCACTAACTAAAGTGAGTGTCCATCAAGTTTACACGTGTACTGAGTACTGACTGGCAAGAAACAGTGACCTCGTGTTTGACCCTAACACGCACGTCAAACTTATGCAACCAACAATTTCCAGCACCTAACAACCCAAGGCCCGCTCTTCCCCGGCGCGCAGACCACCTGGACCTCCGACCTCACCTTCGTCACCGCCTCCACCTACACCCCCATCCCCGTGTACCGCGTGATGGACCGCAAAGGCGCCGTCATCGACGCAACCCACGAACCCCCGCTCCCCGACACCACCCTCCTGAAGATGTACACAGACATGCGCCTCCTCAACACCATGGACAAGATCCTCTACGAATCTCAGCGCCAAGGCCGCATCTCCTTCTACATGACCAACTTCGGCGAGGAGGCCATGCACATCGGCAGCGCCGCCGCCCTCACCGCCGCCGACGTGGTGTACGGGCAGTACCGCGAAGCCGGCGTGCTCATGTGGCGCGGTTTCACTCTGCAGGAGTTCGTGGACCAGTGCTACGGTAATCGGGACGACAAGGGAAAGGGCAAGCAGATGCCGATCCACTACGGCTCGAAGGAGCTGAATTTCGTGACTATCTCGAGTCCTTTGGGGACGCAGATGCCGCAGGCGGTGGGGGCGGCGTACGCGCTGAAAGGGAGCGGGAGGGTGGTGATCTGTTATTACGGGGATGGGGCGGCGTCGGAGGGGGACGCTCATGCCGCGTTTAATTTCGCGGCGACGTTGGAGTGCCCGGTGATTTTGTTCTGCAGGAATAATGGGTATGCGATTTCTACGCCGGTGAGGGAGCAGTACAGGGGGGACGGGATTGCGGCGAGGGGGCCGGCGTATGGGGTGCACACGCTGAGGGCGGATGGGAATGATGTTTTGGCGATGTATAATGCGACGAAGTTGGCGAGGGAGTACTGCGTGAAGGAGCAGAAGCCGGTGGTGATCGAGGCCATGGGGTACAGGTGAGTGGCGGTGTGGAAGATTTTACTAAAGATCTTTTTTAAAAAAAGACATCAATTCAAAAATTAAATACCTGGGGAATTTCAAGATCAAGTGTTTCACTTTTTTTCAAAACACTAGTGGTCTCTTGGAATTCGAAGATTTTTCCAACTTATTTCAAAAAGAAGATACAAGAAATTTTGAAGATACACATTACTGAAAAGTAGACCAGAGACCCCCAAAATCTTTTACATTGACAAAAACACTAAGAGTCTCTAAAATTCTTTCAAATCTTTTCAAGATCAGAACGTTACGACTCCCCGAGATTTTTTTCAAAAATAAAACCAAGGGGCTTTCAAGATTCCTTCATATCGCAAGATTCTTTCAAGAACAAAACTTTAGGGGTCCCCGGATCTTTTCAAATTCTTTCAAAAATTCAATATCAAGACCCTCACCGATGATGCTAACTGCTCCGAAGATTCTTTTAAACTGTTTCAAAAATAAAACAACATAAAACCAAAGATCTTTCTAAGTTATTTCAAAATCAAGACACAAGAAATTTCGAAGACACACATTCTTGAAAAAAGACACCAGAGATCCCAATATTTTTTCACATTGACAAAAATCCTAAGCGTCTCTAGGATTCTTTCAAATTTCTTCGAGGCGCCTGAGATTCTTTTAAACTCTTTCAAAAACAAAACATCAGAAACCCCAAGACGTTTCAAAAATTTTTCAAAAACAAGACAAGAAATTTCGAAGACATTTAACATTTTTTAAAAAGTACCCCATGGATTCCAAGATTTTTCCATATCGACGAAAAAAAGACACTAAGGAACCCTAAGATTTTTCAAATCTGTTTTAAGATCAAAACCTATGTCTCCCTTAGATTTTTTCAAAAATAAACACCTAGAGATTTCCAAGATTCTTTTATATTCTTATATTCTTTCTCTAAAAGAGATACAGATTTACTTTTTTCAATTGTTCATTTTTCTTATTTTTTCCCATTTCTTTAATTTCTAGGTTTTGGGATTCCTCGATTAAAAATTTCCCTTTTTCAATTTTCAGTTTTTCAATTTTTCGATTTTTTCATTTTTCATTTCTTCAATATTCGGTTTGCAACTTTCCGTTTGGTTTATTTATTTTCTTTATTTTTTCAATTTTTCGTGATTTTATAATTTTTCTTTTTTCAGTGCGAAATTTTTCAATTATTCGATCTACGATTTTTCGATTTTTTGACCCTTTGATTTCTGCATTTTTTATTTTTCAATTTCAAGTTTTCACGTTTTTGCTTTGCAATTTTTCGTTTTGTTTTTTTATTTTCTTTATTTTGTCAATTATTCGATTTTTCCATATTTCGATTTATAATTTTTTTTTTAAATAGTTAATATTTCTTATTTCTTCCATTTTTAGATTTAAAATTTCCCGAATTTTCAATTTTTTGGTTCTTTAATTTTTTATTTCGTCAAATTTTCGATTCGTGATTTTTCGTTTCGGTTTTTTATTTTCTTAATTTTCCTATTTTTCGTTATTTTTGTCAATTTTCCAGTTTTTCAATGTGGTGATTCTAAAATTTTTTTTTCAATGTGAAAATTTACAGTTTTTGGATTTTTCAATTTTTCGATCTGCATTTTTCCAATTTTAGATTTTTTCAGTTTCATGTTTTTTCAATTTTCAGTTGTCTTCAATTTTTCGGTTTACAAATTTTCAGGTTTTCCTTTTTTTTGTTTCTTCATGCAATTTTTCGAGCTTACAAGTTTCAGTTTTTCAGTTTTTCATTTTCCCGACTTGAATTTTCAAATTATGCAATTTTTCGTACTAATTTTTCAGTTTTGTAAAAAACTCGTCGATTTTTTCGTCCTTTTCGTCCTTCGACCTTGGTTTTTTCGCCCTTTGTCCTTTTCGTAATTCATCCTTTTCGTCCTTCGTTCTTTTCGTCCTTCGTCCTTCGTTCTTTTCGTCCTTCGTCCTTTTTGTCATTCGTCCTTTTCGTCCTTCGTCCTTTTCGTCCTTCGTCCTTTTCGTCTTTCGTCCTTTTGGTCCTTCCTTTTCGTCCTTCGTCGTAGATTTTGACGTTCTTTCAGTTTTTCAGTTTTTTGATTTCTTCGATTTTTAATTTTTCTTTAATTGAAAAATTTAAAATTGCGGAAACTGCAAAATCGAAAAATGGAAAAATTTTTCAGTTTTGCAAATCGAAAAATTGAAGAATATAGAGAATTGAAAAATTTGGAAGTCGATTTTTTCGTCCTTTTCGCCCCTCGACCTTTTCGTCCTTTTCGTCCCCCTCCTTTTCGTTCTTCGTCATTTTCGTCCTTCGTGCTTTTCGTCCTTCGTCCTAGGTTTTGACGTTTTTGCCCGTTCTTTCAATTGTTCAATTTCTTCGATTTTTATTTTTCCCTCGTTTATTCTCGAGTTTTCAATTTTTAATTTTTCAATGTTTCGATTCTTTAATTTTTCATTTCTACAAATTTTCGACTTTTTATTTTTCGTTTCGGTTTTTTATTCTTTATTTTTTCAATGTTCCTTTTTTTCACTGTGAAGTTTTTCACTATTTCGATCTGCGATTTTTCGATTTTTTAACCCCTAGATTTTTTTAACTTTTCACTTTTTAATTTTCCAACTTGTGAATTTTTCAATTTTTAGATTTTGCAAGTTCTCATATTGAGTTTCCCGAGTTTTCAATTTTAATTTTCCAATTTTTCATTTTTTTTTTCTTTCTTCAGATTTTCGGTTTGCAAGTTTTCAAGTTTATATTTTTCTGTTTTTCAATTTTCCAAGTTTTGAATTCTTTAATTTTCAGATTTTGCAATTTTTCGTACTGAGTTTCTCGAGATTTCAATTTTAATTTTTCAATGTTTCTATTTGTAATGTTTGTTTTTTCAATTTTTCATTTTCTTCATTCAATTTTTAGATTTTGCAATTTTTCGATTTTTTCATTTTTCATTTTGTCAATTTTCGATTTGCAACTTTCCGTTTGGTTTATTTATTTTCTTTATTTTTTCAGTTTTTCGTGATTTTATAATTTTTCTTTTTTCAGTGCGAAATTTTTCAATATTTCGATCAACGATTTTTCGATTTTTTAACCCTTTGATTTTTGAATTTTTCATTTTTCAATTTTAAGTTTTCACGTTTTTGCTTTGCAATTTACTAAAGATATTTTTTAAAAAAAGACATCAATTCAAAAACTAAATACCTAGGGACTTTCAAAATCAAGTGTTTCACTTTTTTTCAAGACACTAGTGGTCTCTTGGAATTCGAAGATTTTTCCAACTTATTTCAAAAAGAATATACAAGAAATTTTGAAGATACACATTACTGAAAAGTAGACCAGAGACCCCCAAAATCTTTTACATTGACAAAAACACTAAGCGTCTCTAAAATTCTTTCAAATCTTTTCAAGATCAGAACGTTACGACTCCCCGAGATTTTTTTCAAAAATATAACCAAAGGGTTTCAAGATTCCTTCATATCCCAAGATTCTTTCAAACTCTTTCAAGAACAAAACTTTACGGGTCCCCGGATCTTTTCAAATTCTTTCAAAAATGCAATAAAACCCAAGATCTTTCTAAGTTATTTCAAAATCAATATACAAGAAATTTCGAAGACACACATTCTTGAGAGATCCCAATATTTTTTCACATTGACAAAAATCCTAAGCGTCTCTAGGATTCTTTCAAATTTCTTCGAGAACAAAACGTTAAGGGTTTCCCCGATTTTTTCATATTTTTTCCCAGTGTGACACCCAGTGGCCCTCAAGACCGTCCTTTCACAGATTTTTTTTAAAAGACACTAGTGGCGCCTGAGATTCTTTTAAACTCTTTCAAAAACAAAACATCAGAAACCCTAAGACGTTTCAAAAATATTTCAAAAACAAGACAAGAAATTTCGAAGACATTTAACATTTTTTAAAAAGTACCCCATGGATTCCAAGATTTTTCCATATCGAAAAAAAAAAAGACATTAAGGAACCCTAAGATTTTTTAAATCTGTTTTAAGATCAAAACCTTACCTATGTCGCCCTTAGATTTTTTCAAAAATAAACACCTAAGGGTTTTCAAGATTCTTTTATATTCTTATATTCTTTCTCAAAAAGAGATACAGATTTACTTTTTTCAATTGTTCATTTTCCTATTTCTTTAATTCCTCGATTAAAAATTTCCCTTTTTCAATTTTCAGTTTTTCAATTTTTCGGTTTTTCAGTGTTCTGATTTAGTTTTTTTTTTTAATATGTTTTTGGATTTTCAATGAATCGATCTGCAATTTTTCGATTTTTCGACTCATGGATTTTTGAATTATTAATTTTTTCATTTAAAATTTCTCCACTTTCGTGTTCTTTCAATTTTTCGGTTTGTAACTTTCGATTTTTTTTGGTTCTTCAGATTTTCGGTTTGCAAGTTTTCAAGTTTAAATTTTTCCGTTTTTCGTACTGAGTTTCTCCAGTTTTCGATTTTAATTTTTCAATGTTTCGATTTGTAATTTTTTTTTTTCAAATTTTTCATTTTCCTCATTCTATTTTTAGATATTGTAGTTCTTCGATTTAAAATTTCCTCAGTTTTCAATTTTTAATTTTTCAATTTTTCGAGTGTTTCATTTTTCATTTCTTCAAATTTTCGACTTGCAACTTTCTGTTTGGTTTATTTATTTTTTCAATTTTTCTTTTTTCAGTGTGAAATTTTTCAGAATTTCGATCTGCGATTTTTCGATTTTTTAACCCTTAGATTTTTGAATTTTTCATTTGTCGATTTCAAATTTTCTATTTTAATTTTTCAGGTTTTCGCTTTGCAATTTTTTCGATATATAATTTTTTGTTTTTTCAACATTTAATTTTTCTTTCTTATTTCTTCAATTTTTAGACTATGCAATTCTTCATTTTAAAATTTCCCGAATTTCGATTTGTAATTTTTCGTTTCGGTTTTTTATTTTCTTAATTTTCCAATTTTTAGGTATTTTTTCAATTTTCCAGTTTTTCAATGTCATGATGCTATAATTTTTCTTTTTTCAAGTGAAAATTTTCAGTTTTCGAATT